TGTGTGTGTGTGTGTGTGTGTGTGTGTGTGTGTGTGTGTGTGTGTGTGTCAGCAGCAGCCTGGGTGGTACCAGCCTATTATAAGCATGCTGGCAGTCAAAACATTTGAGCGCTCCCTGCTTCGCAGTTCTGTATGCAATAGGAGTGACTGTGTGTGTGTGAGATTGTAGTTCTATCTTTGTTGGGACCAATCTGAGTTTTAGCCTTTAATATTTTTGTAAAGTGGATTTCGGGTGAACGTTAGAGAATCAGGTTCAGATTGGGCAGTGGTGGAAGGTATCTAAGTATATTTATTCAAGTACTGTACTTAAGTAAAGTACCTTGAAACTTTACTTGACTATATATATTTTCTGCTACTTTATACTTCATCTTCACGACATTTCAGACGTAAATACTGTACTTTTTACTGCACTACATTTAGTTGAACACTTTAATTACTTTTGCAGATTGAAATTAATACTAATGCATGATGGTTATTATTATGTATTAAACTACCCAGCAGTATATAAAGTAATCAAATGCAATATTAAAGTGATGAACACATAAATACATCAACATTTAAAATCCAATGAAATATATAGTATATTATTCTGAAGTGGGCCATTCTGCATAATGAGTACTTTTACTTTTGGTACTTTAAAATATATTTTGAAGCTAATAGTTTAGAGGAGAAATGTCTCTTTGGTGGAAATGACAACAACCCAATGACGTCTGAAATGTGACAAGGAGACAACTAAAATGTGTTGTATTTTATTGTATATTTTTGTATTTAGAATTAGCTGTAAATAGTACTAACTACTAGTCTAATGAAGTAAAAAGTACAATATTTCTCTCTGAGGTGTAGTGGAGTAGAAGTTGCATAAAATTGAAACAGTAAACAGTAAGAACAAGTATCTCAAAACTGTACGTACTGGAGTACTTTGTCACTTGGTTACACTACTGGCTCCCATCATCCCAGATGTTAACTTGGTGAGTATAACGTTATCATTACTGACAGGAAGGATGAACTGGATCGCCAACACAAGTTGTAATAAACCAGAATTATAACTACACATGTGCAATGTTGTATTTGGTGAAAATACCAGAAAAAAATCCAGAACAGTACAATTTAAAAAATAATTCATCCATTCATCAGCTGATTATCTTCTCGATTAATCGTTGTAGAAAAACACTGAAAAATGTTCATTACAGAGACGTCTATGGTGGTGTTGTCAGATTACTTTTGTCTGACCAACCGACCAATACCCCAAAATATTTAGTTTGCTGTGATACAGTCTGACTCACAGGATGTAGACTCTGCCTGAAACATCATGCTCCCCGTCCGTTATCTGCGTGTTTCTGTTCTCAAAACACCCGTTTCACTTCTAGAGCACCGACGAAGATCAAATCATGTTTTCCCTGATTTATCAGTAAATGTTGCATCACATGGTCATTTTAATGCCAGGGCTCCCTACATGCAAATGTTGCACCAAAACAAGTTCCCTCCCGGCGCTATTTTTTCCTGAGCACCGTCGCCACATCTGTGATTGGTTTAAAGGAAATTAGTAGAATTACCACCTCGTGGTTGCATGCCTCCGCCAACCAGTCAAGTTGCAGTTTACAAACGAGTCTGTACAAAATGTCATCATTTTATCCTATTAGACATTTGTGTGAAATTGTCATAATTAGCATTTAAATTCTCGAGTTATGGCCAAAAACTGTGAGGTCACAGCAACCTTTGACCACCAAATTCTAATCAGTTCATCCTAAAGTCAAAGTGGCACGTTGGTGCTAAATTTGAAGAAGTATTGCAAAGCATTGCTGAGACATCACGTTCACGAGAATGGGATGGACGTGAGGTCACAGTAAACTTGACCTTTGACCTTTTGACAACCCAAAAACACAATGCCCTCAAGACTATATGAAACAATGAAAATCAGCACATTTTCACATTTGAGACCCTGGACATGTTAAATATTTGACTGTCATGGTTCATCAATTATCGAAAGAGTGACAGACTTTTTTCGATCAACTTATTGATTAACTGACTTGACTTTCTTCATTGAATGGTTGAAAGCAGAGAACAAAATGAATAAGTGGTGCTTTGGACTCACCCGGTTCGGGCGGGGTAGTTCCCTCTGTCTCCCAAAGGAGGGGTCTCTGATGCCACGGGGTGAAGCCTCTCGAGGTTGAGGGGAGACGCTGCTCCTCCTCCTCCTCTTCCTCCTCTTGCTCCCAGCTCCTCCTCGTCCTCCTCCACCTCAGGGTCTCGTGCTCTCACCTCACAGTGAGCGCTCACCAGTAAGCCCAGTACCAGCACCAGTTGTCTCATCATGTCTGCTCTCCTTCACATCACTGCGTGGAGGGGAGCACGACCACCAGCTGCTTTTAAAAGCCTGGGGGGGGGGGGGGGGGGGGGAGAGGGAGGAAGGAGGGAGGCCACACCTCCTATTTCCTCTGCTCCCCCTCCCCCTTCTCTCTCAACAGTCTTCTTCTATGTCTGCATTACATTTTATATATTATCTATAATTTTGTCATCCTGATTTTCCACAATGTAATTTAGTTATTTGGTTCTACTCTGTTCCAACAATATTAACTGCATGTGTGGAAGAAGTACTCCATTCTTTTAGTGAAGTAAAAGTAGTTATACTACAGCGTAGAAAGACTGTTAACAGTAAAAGTAGTTATACTACAGCGTAGAAAGACTGTTAACAGTAAAAGTAGTTTTACTACAGCGTAGAAAGACTGTTAACAGTAAAAGTCCTGCTTTCAAAATCTTTCTTAAGTAAAAGCACTAATCATACAGATTGGTCTTTTTCAGTGTAACATATGTTATTGGATTATAATTATTGATGCATTAATGTGATCATCACTTTAATGTTGCTGCTGGTAAAGGTGGGGCTAATTCTAATGTGTAATTCTGCAAAGTAATTTAAGTATTTAAATAATTTTAGTGCAGTAAAAAAACAAACACAATATTTGAGTGTGAATGAGGCAACAATGAGGTTTCACCTCTCTGAATAAACTCCTTTATTCTGTCTGTCTTCATGTTTACCCTGTGGAAGTGATAAGAACAGAGGAAATCCACCGAGCTGCAGGAGAAATGACCTCTTTCCTTTCTCTGTGTGTGTGTGTGTGTGTGTGTGTGTGTGTGTGTGTGTGTGTGTGTGTGTGTGTGTGTGGTTGTGTGCTGCTGTGACGACATTCTTCAAAGGGCTGTTTGAGGGTTAAGACTTGGTTTGAGGGTTAAAACAAACCTATGTAACATAATAAAGATAAAAGTTAGATTATTTTAGCAATAAAAAGAATACACCCTAACTTACATTCTGGCTGTTATAAGACGTAAAAAAGAAGGATGGAGACAAAAAGAAACAAATGTGAGCAAGATGATGTTAGCTTTAAAATCATTCAAGTTCATCATTATCCAGTTTGAAAACGTTCATTCAACAAGCAGATCTTATGAAAGAAACATTATACAGAATTAAAATTGTGATAAGTATTGGAATTGAAACAAGAACCACACTGATGAGAGGATATTTGACCCCGTAACAGCATCATATAATCTGCTTCATTTGTTTTTATCCAGTGTTTTTCATCTTTACATTCGGTCATCAATCAAACCAAACACTGGAGCTCAAGTTGTCAATGCTTTTTGTAAACTGATGTGAGGGTGAGAATATGTCTCAGTCTCACTGTTATCCTGTCACGTGTTGTTATTTTATTAGTTAATTCACAACAGTGAAGCGGATTACGGTGAGTTAAAGTGAACTGAAGAGGAGGAGGGTGAAGCAGAGGGAGGAAGGCTGACGGTTCCTGTCCAGGCTGAGAGAGCCAGGGACTTTTCCACTGGGAGAGGGGGGGGGGGGCATTTCCGAGGATTGTTGTAGAGCTGTGTGGAGATGGAGGGTTGAAATATATTGCAAAGAAAGCGAAAGTGTAGAAGGACACCGAAGACTCAAATGACAGACACTTAGCGGTTGTGGATTTGTATGAATGGTATTCATCAGCTTTGTAGATATTTATCAAAGCTATAGTCAGAGACAATTTTCTTAAATATTTTCACCACAGCCAACAAGACAGCATTGGTGGAAAGTAATGTATATTTGCTCAAGTGCTGTACTTATGTAGCATTTGAAGGTACTTGTACTTTAATTGAGTAATTCTATTTTCTGCTACTTTATACTTCTACTCCTATATACTAAAAGGATCTCCATCTTTATCATCTGCAAAATTAAAGTGCGGAACACAATAATCCATCAATAATTATAATCCAATGATATATCCTAACATGGGCCATTCTGCATGAGTAATTTAACTTTTGGTATTTTATGTATATTTTGATGTTAATACTTTTGAATGCAGCACTTTTACTTATGTAATAGAGTATTTCTACAATTGCTCAAAGTACTTCTACCACCACTGTGTTTATTTACTCTATTTTTCAGGCAAGTAACAAGAGAACAGATAACCCAGGCAGACAGGAAGAGCTCAGTGATTTATTGAAAAAGTGAAGATACATAAGAATACTGACAGCATGGTGAGAATAGAAGTAAAGGAACAAAGCAGTACTGACAATCAGGCAGGAGAAAGTGGAGATAAATACTGAGAGGGCTGATTGGGGAATGAGCAACAGGGTGAGAGTCAGGTGACTGGGACGGGAGGGATAGTCGGAGGACATCTGGTGGACAGATGAAGAGTTGCACTCAGGAGGCCAACTCTGTCCTATTTAGGACACTTCACATTCTTCTAGTATAAGACATAAATATTCATCACGTGTCTTCATATACAAATATATATTCTTGACACTTTCTCTGCGTCTAAATTCTTAAAAAGGTACAAGGGTTAAAGGTAAATTATTACAGTGAAAAGTTTTAAAGGTAACTGTTTACAGAAAAGTTTTACAATGATGAGTATTGAAGCTAATAGTTTAAAAAAAATATATATTTTTTTATATGAACATTTTTCTAATCAACCAAAAATGTTACGACCCCCTGCAGGGACCCCCTGTTGAAGACCTCTGCCCTACATGTTACACACTTCCTTTACATTAATAAAATGCATTTGATTCATCAACATTGCAAGAAAAATCTGATGTTCTAGGTGCATTAAAATATGAGTGTCAGTATCATAAAGACTTGATGTACAAAACTTGAATTCTTATCCTTTCAGCAGTTGTTAAACTGAGCCATACAGAAGCAAGGTCTACTTGGAGAAGCTCCCTTTTTAACTAATGTTGTCTGGGAACAAACTTGAGTTTTATTGGCTGTGTCGGCTGGCCCATCCAGTTAATCTCCAACGGAATCTAAAGGGAGAAATAAATATAAAATAAGGGACATGACAACAGAGCAGGACAGTCTGAATGCACATGAATGAATGTGCGCGTGCGTGCGCGTGTGTGTGTGTGTGTGTGTGGAGTGTTGCTCTTACCACGGTGTCTTTGCATGTTTCCACGGTGTAACTCTGCAGGATACGGACAACAACCGTCTTCATGGTGAGGACAGCGTAGCGCATCCCAACGCAGTTACGAGGACCGAGCCCGAACGGCATGTACGCGTACGGGTTCACCTCCTCCCCACCGTTTTTACTGAACCTGCACAGACGGCCACAAAGATACTCTTTGAGCTATGCATACTTCAACACATTTTTGGGAGTAAAAGCTATCATGGTCCCACACAGTATTATTTAATGTACTATTTTAAGTCAGGCATAAAAACTTGGAATTTGTACTCATATCTGAAAAATAACCATTATACTTTTATGTAATTGCAACAGCCATCCAGTCACCAGTAGAGTGGACCTGTCTTATGAAAACTGATCATTGGATAGATATTAATTCCTAATTTTCATCATTGAATTAGTATGACAGCACACTTGTTGCATGTTGTCTACTTTTTCACTACATTTTAAAAATGAATCAATATGCCATAATGTCGCATGTGGCCACTGTTTACATGTTTTCAGCTGCTGCTTCCAAAGTCCAGAATGAACTTGTATGTCTACAGTGTATGTTTACCTCTCGGGTCTGAAAAGCTCAGGTGAGCTCCAAAAGCGTGGGTCCTTGTGTAATAAGTGAACTGCAATGCCAACCAGGGTTCCCTCAGGGATGGTGAGGCCGTGAACCTGGGTAGTCTTTTTGCACATCCTCTCAAGCCGAGGTGCAGTGGGAAGCAAACGCTGTGATTCACTCAGAACCTGGTCCAAGTACTGTAGACCGACCACATCCTCGTATCGAATTGGAGCCTATACGGGCAAAAGATAAACAGGTGAGGATTAGAATAATATACAATGTCAGCTATTGAAAGGTTTGTTACATATGGCAACGAATCACATGCAGAATGACTTTACATCTCTCGGTAGGTTGGCATCGATTTCTTCCTGCAAGGTCTTCATCGCATCAGGGTTGACGGCAAGATTGTAAAAGATGTAAGAGATAGTGACACTGGTGGTCTCAAAGCCGCCAAAGATGAAAATGAACGCCTGGGAAAGGATCTCGTGCTCAGTCAAACCTACAACAAAATAAAGCAAAATGTTCAGCAAGAAAACTACTTTCATAGGCAGAGACTTTGATGTTTATCTTCACGCGTAACACATACAGTGCATTTACTCTTAAGCTAAAAGACAGAAAGACATGTTTTCCATTTAAAAATATATATTTTGTTATTGTTGATTATTATTATTTTTTAATGTCCAAAAGAGCTTAAAGAGAGTTTAGACATTAAAAAATAGGCAAACATGTAATGCTTACGTCCGACATTATCAAAGCCAACATCAAAATGATCAGGATCACTTAATCTGACATTGATTTTCTTGACTAATCAGTAGTCGTTCGTTCTATAAAATGTCAGAAAATTGTGAAAAATACAAGAATTGCTTCTTAAATGGACTTGTGTGTTTCTCCTGAGCTGAAAGACCTGAAGCAGGTGGAGAACAATTCAAATGTAAATGAAGAACAGAGTGTTTTGAAAGCAGAGCGTTACCTCGACCTTCATGAATTCCTGCTGTGGTGCAAACATACCTTTACTCGGCTGATCTTGTTCACTCTTTATGTCCGTTTCTGGTATCTCGTTCTGAATCATCACCTGCAGGAAGTCCGCTCGACTCTGGATCAGAACATTCCACACAAATTGGAGAGTGGCATCAATCGTTCCATTTAACTCTTGCAAGCGAATAAACGTATTTCTGAAAATGTCGGAATGTTCCTTTAATTCTCCTTTGTAGAGATGAAATGCTTACAGATTCCTCTGCCCTGTGCTGGTCTTTAAACCTCTTGATGAGGTCGTAGAAATAATCCACACTTGGTCTGGGTATCATCTCAATTTTCAGGAGATTCAACAGACGGGCGCCAAAGGGAAATACCACTGAAAGAAGACCACAGGTTTGTTTACCAAAATTTGCTTACTGCTTACTCGTGATTCCAAGGTACTGATGCGATTAAATGATCTCCGCCTATAACAGAGGTGAAGGGAGCACCTACTTAGTATAAATAAAGGCCACATTCTGAAGTTGAGGACCTTCTTGATATGAACATTAAGCGGGTCATCTGGATTGTTTATGGAGTTTGCCTCAACACCAAAGGATGCACTGGTCACAACATCTAAACTATAAGGGGCCACGAATCTAGGCAGAGAAAAAGAGAGGTGGTTTATTTGAGGAATTAACATGGATTAAATGCTACCATTTTTTATTCATTTTATGAGAATATAAAAAGGTTACCCCTTCTTAGTTGATTAATCAACTTATCGGTCATTTTGGTCTTAGTCGACTAAGATTTCTTGAGTAGGTTTGTCATTTTCTATGCTTTTTTCGAGCTGAATGACTTTTTTCTCCAAGAAAGTTATGAACACATCTAAACAAGATTTAAAGTGGTGCTTTTGTTTAATTATTTTTGGAGAAACTCAGTTTTACAAATCTCTCGATTAAATAAACTAATAGATTAATTTACAAATTGTACGAGTGTTGGTCCACTAACAACCTCTCAGGTCGAGGACAGCCCTACTATGTAATGATACAATGGCATAAAGCAGATTAACATACTTTTTGACATCGAGAGGTTCATCCAAATGTTTTTGTCCAAGTTTTTCAGCGAGCCGGTCTGCATAGCGAGCAACGATGGGAAAAACCTTCAAAAAAAAAAAAGAAAAAAAAAAAAAAAAGAGTTGTTTAATGTTGATAATGTACATATGCATTTCTATCAATGATGCCAACTTCTGTAGACACACAATTATGGACATATACTGTCTGCACTAGCAGGGTTCCCACTCTTTTCTAGTGATCATTTTTCAGGATTTTTTCAGGATTCAAAAGATGTGCTGCTATGGCTGTAACGTATCTATGATATAATCTCTGCACACTATAACAACACAAATTATAGTTAGATTTAGAGTTTCGGCCACTTCGGTTGTAACCTGCATGTGCTACCATGTGACGTGACTCGGAGGTGTGTTCTCAGCATTTCCACAACATAACAGCCAGTCTCTCACTTTGTTTTGCATGATATGGAAGTTGGTCAACTGTTTTACAGCTTTTCCAGGTCATGTGGGAACCCTGACTAGGTCAAAGGAAGCAGACTGGAGAAGTGGTTATTGAGCTCGGAAACCAAACCAACCTGTTTCAGTCTTCCACTGGTGAAGCATGGTGATAAAGTGCTCCGCATTCTTTTCCACCTCTCATCTTTAACTGCTGTAATTCCATCAGCCAAAGGTCCTGCCATTGGATTATCCTGTAAACACGACATCAGCTAAACTGAATGTTTAGATTCTCGTACAGAAGACTTCCTCCGACATGTCTCCTTCTTATTTCGTCTGCCCCGATAATGCAACTTCCTGTATCAGAGCTGAATCATCATATCGTACAGAAATTAAACTTCCTTTTAATAGAACAGTTTCTTCTTTATTTGATTTGAACATTTGATGGTAATCCAAAAGGATAACGTGTATCTGATCCTGGCACGTTTCTTAATAGAGATTTTTTAATGCCCTGTTTTGACATTCATGAGCCGAAGGGATTTTCAGCAGGATCAGTCCAAGTTGTACATTTTTATTAAAACCACAGACGTGTCTTACTGCTCACTTGTAGAACAGTGAAGAGTGTTGTTTTTTTTCCAGTTGCACAATAAATTGTGTGTGCGGGCTGGTGTAATCCTCAAGAATAAATCTGACTCTCTGAGTACCCTCCAGGATATTACGACAAATACAAACTTCCTCCTGACTTGAATGAGGCATACATAGCAGCCTTTTCTTCCCTTATGGTTCAGCAAAATAAGTTTGAGCTTTGAACTTTTCTGATAAGGTGGATATAATAAGATTTTCCGAACCATGTCGGTCTAAGAACAGACCATTTGCCACGACATTATAAGTATCTATCTTTTCTTTTTAGTCTTTCTGTTATTCTTGCATCGTTGCAGAAAAAAAGGGTTGCTCAATACGCCCACATTCCCTGCAGAGTGTTCAGGGATATTTCTAGTGTTGTGTAATTTGATAAATAAAACACAAAGACATGAATAATAGAAAAACTGACTCCAAATGTTACTATGTCACTTAACATGATATGCTGATTTTCCATGTTCTCCGGTGTACGATAACAGATGAGTCTCTTACCCTTCGGTTGGTAAACACAGAGTAGCACTCTTTCACCAACACAGTTTTAACAATCTCAGGGTCTGCCACCATTAACACTGGTACTCGTGCATCAAACAACCTGCACAAAAAAAATACAATGTCAGTCTATATGATCAGTTATTAATTAAACATCAACATTTTAAAAAGCATCCTTGTGAGCTCAAAGGCAGAATTAAATTCATGATGGTCAACATCTTAGCCAATTCCTACAAGGAAAGAAATATCTTTATCTTTCTGTGGCAAATTTTCCCTTCACAATAAACTACTTCATCTATTGGTGGAAAGTTATAAAGTGCATTTAATCAAGGACTGTATTTTAAGTACAATTGTGCCCTTCCACTAGGGCTCTGTGTCCTATTTGCTGTCTATTCTGCCTTTCAGGTTGTTAATCGGCCACTGATGAGCCACACCTGAGCCTGGTGTGATAAAGGCTATAAACACGCACCATGCGAACAAGGCTCGGCCCCCCTTCTTTGGCTCCTAACCCTTGGCCGACACGGCTGCTGCTTTGTTTTGTTTAGTTGATGTTCTTTGAATAAATGTATATTTATTACTTTCACCGCTCGTCTCGTCCCCCTTATGTTGGAGCCTTTGAGCCGGGTTGTAAAAAAGCACCATATGCTTGGGCCCCTTGACAATTACCCTTTGATTTGTTTTAGAAGGGGTAAGGCTACTTGGTTGTACTGGCACTTTAATATTTAAGTAAAGGATATGAGTACTTCTTCTACAACTGACATCACCTGTAGGAGGGAAGATGAGATAAACAACTCACCCCCAGTGGTCCCCGTACTTGGCGTGGCATTCACGGTCAAAAGAAAGGAATCCCTACAAGGAATTTCATAAAAACGTCTTTGAGTGTTGAAAGATTAAAAAAACAAAAAGGTACACGAATTGAATGTATAGATAAGTAAAGCAATCCGTACAGCAGGCTACTGGGACTGCTGAGTTATGTTTCAGTATAAAAAAAAATCTATTGGAACCAAATAAGAACATAAACACTCATTATTATTTCCCATTTGCTATAAGGTTTGTGTTTGTTCACGTGTGTGTTACCTTTCTCAGGTATAGAAGTGTTCCAACAAACGGCCACGGCTTTGGTCCCGGTATTCCCGCTTTTTTGAAAAACATATATGGCCAAATGCCATACCTATATTATAAAAAAGACAAGAGTTATAGTTGTTTCACGAACATGCATCCATGATGTAACAGCTTAACGACAAACATCGTTGTTGTAGGACAGATCAAATCGTAACCTAGTACTACTTAGACAGTTTGAGAAGCTACTCACAGCATTAAAAGGGTGAAAACGAGAACCAGCAAAGTCCAGGTAGTTGCTGAAAACAAGTTAAATACAAACATGTTGACTTCTTGCAGGGGGAGAGCTGGACGCGAACAAAATACGAAATGACGAAAGACGCTAAACCAAGCGACCTTAAATGTCTGGAGGTGGGTGGGGCACACAGACTACAGGAAGTAAGTAATGGTATTTGTGCACGTATCAATCCAGTGGCGGTTCTATATTGTCTACCTGAGCACAGAGGGCATGTACTTACATGTTCATAATACTGTTGGCCAGCTTGGAAGACTATAAGCTTTTGAAAGCCAACAACTTAGTTTGGCTACTTCATGTAAATAAGCTCTTTTCTCATCAAGCAGGAACGTGCATCAGCAAACAAAGCCAATTTAAAAGCTTTAAGTTTAAAAACATTTAAACTCAACTCAGATTCAATTACAACAACTACTGCTACTGTGATAGTTACAGCAATGTAAATATGCAGTTATATATAAAACGTGTGGTTATGTGCAGGTGTGTGGCCACTATGTAAAGAGGAAGGATATGAAGTCGGAGCTCAGAGTACAGCAATGCAAAGTACTGCAATATGTACTCCTTGTATTCTTAACACACTATTTTAACCTACTCCTTGAATGAGAATCGTTGAAAGTATTTTCTTATCTACCGATAAGCTACAAAATGAGTGACTGCGCGATAAAAAAAAAGCTCAAACGTTTTCACAAGTTTGAGCTTTCTCCTACACCGTAGATAACCCGGAAATACAACTCATTACGTCAACAACCAACAACCATCGGCTAGCTCTCACGTTGGTCTTCGTCTTTTTAAATTGTCTAATTTGCGGCGGTTGTCCACCTTGTCGTCTGAAGGTGAAATACATTTATCATAGTTAGAAGGCAAGGTAAGAAACAAACGCGTGGCTCACAAATATATGTTTGTTATGACTATTTAATGATGCCCTTTTCAAGCTGCCCTTGGTTTGTAACGTTAGCCTACAGCTAAGCTAGCTACACCAACCTGGCTAATGTTAGCAAACACACTGTTTATTAGCCTTCTGCACACACACACACACACACACACACACACACACACACACACAGTTTGAAATCAACAGAAACATGACACTAGTCACATAGTGTCAGGAACAATCCCTGATCAATAACCCTGCAACTCTTATTATTATAGTATTATCTTATGAATATTAAATTCTATATTTTGGATGTTTGTGTATTCAAATCCTGACTAATTGCTTATTTTTCACATGTAAATAATTGTTGCTGAATGTGTTACAGTAATCAAATTATTTGCAAATAAATCATTATTTCACCCAAACGTAAAAAAATCTTTAATTTAATTTTTTCTTATTTAAATTGTAATATGCGTCTATTCTATATTTGTGTTTATTGATATTTCTACTTAGTTTTAATATTAATTTGGTTTATTTCCATCTAACCTGTTTAATCTGGTTCCCAAGTTAAAGGAAAAGCACAACTCGGTGTTTCCCCTAGGTTTACAGCTTTGGGGGGGGTTGGACACCGACACAAACACTTAAAGGAATCATGGTGTTGACTGGCAGGGAGACTATAGATGGCCTGTTTATGCTGTCTACATATTTGACACAACATTCCTAAAACCAAAAAAAAAACCTGAAATAACAATGAGCGTCTGTGGGTTTGTCACCTCCAGCGACCCAGATCACATACATGTGATCCCTTGCTATCAGCACTAATAAATGCTGATAATAGCAGCTTTAAACCGGTTTTACTGTTACACCTTTGACTTGTTACACAATAACCCACGCAACCCCGTGGACATAAAGCTGTCGATGTGATGTCATGCACTGCGGTAAAACTGGCACAATCAATGAGTCGTCATGCTTTAATAACATTAGGTTACTGATATTTGGTCATTCTACTAAATTTCAATAATGGAAATACAATTAACAACCACATGAAGTACAGACTTATCTGAGATGCACTCTAACATTAGTGTTTTTCATTCATTTTATTTCCTCTCCGTTTCTTTTCAATCCTCCGTAGCTGTGTGTTTTATCTACTCGTATCTTATTTGAATTGCTGCAATCACAATTTCCACAACAGTACTGAAGAGCTGGACTTTTATGTCACAGATGGGGGCAAATTCCTCTCTGGTTGTAGTAAACAGTAAATGTACAGTAACCCAGAAAGAATGCAAAGGGTAACTATATTTGTATCATCACATACGCACATGAAAGTTGACCTCTGCATTCAACCCATCCTTAGTATTAGGAGCAGTGGGGTTCAGTGTCTCGCTCAAGGAGAGGAGGAGCCACAGCCACCCTAAATACCAATACAATAACATTTAGCATTACATAACATTACAGCGGCAAAAGTATTTGTTTATGACATGAAGGTCTCTCAAAGGCCCTCTGCTGATGATCCACCCACACAGGTTCACTTACACTGACTGCTCTTACCTTCTACCCAGAGCTCTGTGGGCGATACAGACCTTACACCTTCGTCACTCTCAAAGGTGCAGACTGAAACTCGCCTTTCCAGTTTGCAGGGCCAGACGTTGTTAGGGTTGCAAAGGTATACCCAGCCTTGATTGCTTTGCACAGAGTTCAAACTGAATTAGTTTCCAGGGTTAAGCTGCTAACCAATTCCAGCCGTGAACCTTTGTTGCTCTGCTCTCCTCCCCGTTTCCTCTCAGTTCTCTACTGTTGTTGTACATGCTGGCTCACTGTCACAGCTTACTGACACACTTGAATAGGACAGAGCCATCGTTAATGTTATTAGTAGCATGTGCTTTTCCTATAATGAGTAGTCAAGGTATCTGTGTGATATGACTGGAGCATAATACCTGTTTTATGTATATGTTATAATAACTGTTTTGTCCTTTCAGAAATAACTTGCCACCATGTTCCTCACCCTCACCCTGCTGCGGAAAGGCATCCCCGGGAAGCAGTGGATCGGAAAGTACCGTCGTCCACGACAGATCACATGGCAGATGAAACGCAACACGGTGAAGCATCTGGAGCGCGAGGCTGAGAACGAGTACTGGATCAGCCGGCCGTTCATGACTCCGGAGCAGGAGCACTGTCACGCTGCTGAGCGCAGAGCACAGACCTGGCTCAAGATCAAGGAGGCCAAATTCATCAATTTTCCTGAACACAAGCGCATCACGGATCACCTGAGTCATCTCAACATCACCAAGACGTGGTCAAGTTAATGTGAGCGGAGGAGTAAACATGCGAGGACTGTGACAACGTCACGTTTATTTGTGCAGGAAAGCTCGGTTTTGTTGTTTGTGTTAATGAAAGCAACACCTTGTATGTCAGCTGAGTTGTTGACCAAATCCATAATTGACTGTTTTAACTCCGCCTGCCTCCATGAAGCAAATCTGTAAACTGTTTCTTTGTTGTACTGTATCACAGACTGAATCCACACCACTAAAATCCTGCTTACCATTCTCCAGCTGATCTGTGGGTCCTTCTTTTAGCTCTCATTAAGAAAACACACTTTCAAGTTGAGAAAAAACCCCGGCTTTAAAATCTCTATAATTATATGAACTGCTGAAGTGTGCTCCACCAGGGAAATGTTGGAGGAATTATATAAATAGTCTGGGGAGGTTGGGGCAAAATGATGTAATGTTATGACAGGTTAATGTCTCTAATATGCATTTAGCTGTTTTACATTTAATATATTAAAGGGTTGGGACTGTCAGTAAACCCAATAGCTGAAACTAGAGCGTTAAATCCCTTTGAAGTTAGAAAATCCTGGAAGGTTTGCGTAAACGTGCTCACTTAATCAATGGATTCTCATGAAATGTGACGTTTTTTTCCCATAGTGGAGAGCACTGTGATTCTCTCCAATCTCAGCAAGCTGCTTCTGCTTGGGGGGGGAAATAGGCTCTGCTGTTGGTGTAATACCTGTTAGTCAGTGGCTGTCAGTGCACTGTGCAGGAAATCGACCTTTAATGAAACCTCAGCTTCTCATTTGTAATCTGTTCACATGCGAGATAGCCCACTGTGTTGATGACTTGTCTGATAAGTTATTGCCATTACATCATTCCAACACTAATGCATAACTACAGGAAGAGCCAGCAGGTGATAATCGTCATCTCCTGAGTTTCATTATATTTTAGTGTTATTATGAAGCTATTTGCACCACAGAACACAAAGCAAACACTGACTCAGCGATCATCAGCCCTTAAATAGAACCGTGAACACGAGGCTCTGTTGTCTTTTATTGGCCATGAACCAACGTGTGCACGACTACCACCATGATAAAAAAAAAAACAGCATGGCTTAGCTACTTCTTTTAAACCTTTTGTTATTGGTCAAGCATTAAACTGTCATATCCAGTGCTTCTCTGCAGCACACAGAGCCCTGATGGTTAGTTACCATAGTCTGATATATACCTGTGACAACAGGTGAGCCCAATTACCAAGACCAGCAGAGAAACCACAGGTGTGACAAACTTTTTTACCTGTTTTTATACTGTGTATTTGTTTTAATTTTCTTTTGGAAATGTTCGTTGTTACTAGGATAATTCTTTGAGGTCTCTCTTAGTGCGGGCACTGCGGGGTCCAATGCAATTGAACAGGATTAATGAGCCTGTGGGGGAAATGCAGCCTTTGAAAGGGCCAATTCTCCTGCAGGAGTCGAAGAGAAAAAAAAAAATCCACATCTTGTTATTGCTGCTCCTTTGGAACACCCATTTCAAGAACCTGACTGTAAGAGATTAATCCAGGAAAAACTTTCCAACAACCTTCCTGGGTCGACTGCAGGAAGCTTTCCCAACTGTTTCTTTTTCTCACAGCTTTGTTATTTACTCCAAAATGATATATATCATTATCATTTTGTCATAAGTATTAGCTGTTTAACACAGTTCTCAGTTTTATTCTGCTAAATTACTTTCCTTGAATTCTTAAAAACAAAAAGTATATAGATTGCGTTAGCTCTACAAAACAGAACAACTCGCATAAATAAAGAGGATGATCTTGTCAACAAGCAGAATAATAACATCATTTACAAGAAAAATACTTCATAAACTATCTTAACCTTTTTCTTCAGCATTCATGATCTTAATCAATACAAATACAGAAATCATATCAGCAAAATTTACTTCAATTATCAGTTAATATAAATGAAAGTACTTGTTCCACAGAAACATGTCTAAAAAGGTTTAACAATGTCTTTTCTAATCTTATAATAGGCCCATGTTTTTTGAGTAGAATCATAATCTGTTGAACTCTATCTGTATAATCTACAATAGCCCACTCTGAAGTGAGTAGAAGTATAATTTAGCAGAAAAATAATCGAGTCAAAGTACATCAAAATTGTACTCAAAGTATTTGGACTTTTTCGGATGCGGGCACCACTCGGAACTGTCGGTGTGCACATTGTTCCATCCGGCAGATGGCGCTCCGGGTCCTGTTGTTGATCCGTGCAGAGCCCCAGCCCCTCCTGCGCGGTTCGCCCAGGCGCTGTTTTCGTCTCCTGGATGATGAGGTGCGTACACAGACGCGCCAACGCACCGCACCGGGCTGAGGAGGCAGTTGATGAGCAGACCAGACAAACAAGCTCCTCTCCGACCAGAAACGACCACGCAGCGTGCCGGAGCCGCAGAGACCATGACGACCGGCGGCACATCGAGGAGTGAAGATTCACCTGCAGACCAGACGACCGAGTGAAGAGGCGGGATGGCGGGGGGTCGGAGGGGACTTGTGGCCCCTCAGAATACTTTTTTGGAGAATATTGTCAGACGGTCGAACGGTAAGGATAAAGATTGTTACAGTACATTGGGCTGAAATATTTAATTATTAGATTTAAGTCTGTCTTTTTTTCAGCGTGTCGAATCAAGCCAATCAACTAATTAACGCAATTGAAAAACGAAGGAGGCCAATTAGTGATGGATCCCTCGCCTTCATGTGCATGAAAAAAAGTTAGTTTTTTCATTGAGCTACGTAGAAGGAAAGAAAAACAACTGGGTTGGTAAAAAAAAGAAAAATGTAGATGAAAGAATTTTCTGACAAGGCTCCTGTTCCCAATCTGTGCGGGAGTACACGAGAGCGAAAAAGACAGCAGGTTACGATCATTAAACGTATACCAGCCTTCTGATTCCATAAGGCCACTGGAAGTCTGGATTGTAAACAATGATATGGACCAGAAATATCTTGTCTGGATTATTTCAGTGTTAATGTGAACGTAATGTCATTAATGTCTAAATACATGTAGGATTATGTCAGAGAGCAGCTCAGCAGATGTATGCCTTTTATTATATATTCACCACGATTCCGATTGGTTTGAAATTAAACTGTCAGGCTTTTGTTTTAGCCTTTAAAAAACATTTCATGCATTATATTACCCAACAGAATCTGAATAAGTGTTAACAAGAGGCCAACCAAACCTCAAGCTGGGCCTATAATTAGGACTACTGTTCATTTAGTGGATAATAACGCCACTGAAACTGTATTGAGGCCTGAAAGACTTTGCTCCATCTTTTATATTTCTAGTATGAACATAAACAGACATGGCATTACCAACCCAACAGAGAAGATTTTGATGTATTATGGGAAAAATTGATTAAATAGTTTTCATGACTATAATGGCTTTCATCCAATACTGTATATCACAACTTATCAAATATCACTATTTGATAAGAAATCAAAACAACTGGATTGGTATCACTATATGATAAGTTGAAATATGTTGGCCTGTAGTTATTTATCTTTATATTATTGTTTGACACCTTAATTTGCAAAAACAGTGCGTTAAATGAGATTTGTTTTGACCAATTAGTGCACAGTATGCTGTGCAGGTGAAGACAATTAACCTTGTTTGAAAGCTGAAACTTACCTAACGCTGATGTAGGTCTTACAGTATTTGGGTGCTATCCTTCAGCCTTTCTCTATTATTAGATCCAATAGAAAGTGACAGATCAGACTGACACAGCTAACTGTGAAACAGAACCAGCAGCGTTGTGTGTTTCTGTCACGAACCACACGTGGGGCCAAACACCAACTTAATTGGTTTGAGCTATAATTGCCTCTTTTTTTTTTTAAATGGGGTTTGGTTAAAATTAGGTTTGGAGTTAACTTGTGTAATTTATGGTCAGCTCCCCCAGAGGCATGCCTTGTGTCTGTGTCTGCACTCCTTGTTCCACACTGTCAGTCTGCCCCAGTAGCACATTACAATGTGTTTGTGACAGAAGGGAACAACGTGTTCAGAAAGGATGAATATATCTTTCCAGAGAGGAGCTTTCTTTATATGAACAGTGCCAGGATCTGGATCCCTAAAGTGCACTATGTGATATATTGTAAAGGAAGAAAAAGGAAAATCCAATCTTTTTAAAAACAATAGCATGCATATGTTTTCTTATGACCTTGGGCGGTCCTGGGATTAGCGAGCAGTAAATCTCTCCCAAACTAGAAACAAAAGAGCAAAGACTATAATCTGCAGGATGAGACACAATGTAGTGACTTGTGAGAGACACAGTGCTGTTGGGTGGGCGTTCACAAACAATGAGCTGTTCTCTCTTTTGTAACTTTCAAAGTTCAAGATTAGTTTGCTTTTTTGTCTCTATTTCAGATTTTCATGTTCATGTCTATACTTTGCCACCTAAATTATCTTTAATTATAAGTAATAACATGCAAAAGTCTGTTTTGTCTCTGAACTTTCACTTGATAATGGCTCTGTGATTAATACCAGTGAGCAAACATGGAGAATACCAGGGACCCAATGTGAAATGTATACAGCCAATGAGCAGAAATAACACCTCAAATTTTTGGTGGGTCTCATAAATCATGCTAGTCATATCCTATGTAGCTGTAACGTAAAGTTCAGCTGCATGTTGAAATGTTAGGAGATGAGCAGCAGCAAAGAAGATGTGGGCAGGTAAGGCACAGTTAATCTTACTGGTGAAGCACCTGCTACATGGATAGCATACTAAGTTGTGCTCAGTTCTGTTACACTGCTGCCTGTTAGAAAAAGTTCATTCAAAATATTTCAACCTGCAATAACTGATTTTCTTTGGCCACTTTGTGGGCAGAGGAACGATTGGCACATCATTACCTTTTTAAATTGACATGGCGAACTTAGATTATTTACACATTCAGCAGTTTTGGAGCAACGTTATCATTTAAAGTTGTGTTCCTGGTGAATGTAAGTCCCAATATCACTCTGTTTTAGCTCTGTTTTTTTTTTAATCTGTCTCTTTTAGCTGGTAAATGCTTCATTATGTTCACCAGTCAGTCGCTACTGTCTTGTCTGCTCTTTGGTGCTGAGCAGGTAGTGCTGGTTACAGCTGGTTTTTAGAGCTTTTTCACTGAAAACAACTGAGAGCAGTGAGTGAACCAAAACAGAGAAGTTGCGGCCTGGACAGTTAAACAATGAGCTGAAAAAGTTGCGTTAATCATTATTATTTATATGCACATTAAATCAAACTACATCAGACTACATTTTCTTGTACTTTGAACTTTGTAGTATGGAGATTTTTTTATTAACATTTAGACCATGAATAAGTTTAGCTTGGGGCCTTTTTGCTAACATTTGAATATGCCATATGATAATTAATGTGACATTTAAAAATTGTTGACTGCAGACATACGTGCCAATAAGTTATACTATTTCATAATAATCACCAGCTACAAATTGGACCATTTAATGAGAAGCACAAGGGCTCACAAAAAATGTTGGTTGTAAATTTGTGCTAAGAATCTATCAAGAAGTCCACAAACTGATCTGCTTTACCATACATCTTTTTAAGATTAGACACTTAAACATTATATTTTAAATATACTTTAGACTTCGTAGCTGCATGGTGAATTTTAGCTTCATTTAGCTCATTATTTTGGCCAGCCCACTTGCCCAGCACCAAATGGCGGACAAAGGTATACGACTAACGTTAGCTGAAGCTAAATCTATTAGCAGCTAAAGAGCAAAATATCTCAATAAAATAAACCATAATAAAATGAATGGTAAATTGCTCTGTTGGATGTGTAAGTAAGCAAACAACTGCATGCTAACATACTAGCTGCAACGATTAACTCTAGCAGAGTGTCTGTCAGCTTGTTTCTGAGTTTCTGTTCCTATATTGGCCAAAAAAATGATGAATGCAACTTTAGCATACGTCTACAGTAGGCTAATGGTTACACCTGTTTCTGTATTATATTACAAATTAGCAGTCATGTTTTTAGCATGTAGCATTGAGGTTAGCAACACAGAGAGGATTGCCTTATTCACATTGGTGTGTTGTCTCTTATTTTGGTTGACACGTCCCATCTTTTTCGTCTGACGTTCAACGGATGTTTCTCACTGTAATCTGTTAACCTTCTTTCCTTTTCAAACATTTCAGTTTGGACACTGTCACATAGACAGACAGGTACTATAAAGTTTAGTTTGGTGTGCTGCTTATGTTTTCTTTACGGTATATCTCTTTGTAATGTACCACAAAATGTTCTATACCAAATGCTGTTAATTTACAAAGCACTTGACTAATTAGACATGTTGAGATCATTCAAAATATTATTGAAAATTTGCTGCAACACAGCAAATCCAGGGCTAATAACAATAATGGAGCTTTGGACTTTCTTTATACCGATCAACGTTCATGTGATCATTGTAAAATAACACATTGGCATGGAACGTGCATCATATTCAGTGTTCTCATGCTTGTAGTTGTCTTTTAAATGTGTTTTATTTTGACATGATCAAAGATTTTTTTCCCTGTGGGTGTGTTCTTGTGTGGTACAAAAAAGGAAATTTGGGTATGCGTTTTGTGCCAGGTATGTTTTGATTCCTTCTCGTGTCCTTTCACCCCTGTGTCGTCACATTGTTGTAGTCTGTGTTCATAGCGGGGCCGTTTGCTTTGAGGTTTGCCATAAAGATTTTAATTTTTTGAGGTTTTATGCCCAGTTATCATCACTTCTCCTGTCCCATTAAAACTATTGCATCTGCTCTTTTTTTTTACCTTTTGCCAAAATGATGTGGATGGATTTGAGATTGTTTTTCTTGTCAAAAATAATCGTTAAAAACAATGGTTTGCAATATCTGAGTTTTTGATCCCAGCCATTCAACAAAATGTTGCTTTTATACAAACGCATTTTATTCACATTGTTTTGAAAATTGATTTTCTTTTGTATTTGAAATGTCAAAATGATAACATGCAGATGCACAAATTAGTAATGTCTTGTCGAGGCTTGTTGACAGGCTAGGGTAATTGTCATTAAAGTATGAATATGGTGTTTTTAAGTGACACTTTATTTCTTACAAACAGGCAAACATTGATGGCCTTTTTTTCATGTTCAAATCATAATCGGCTCAATAATTGTAATGTATGTCCTCGCCTTTAAAATGACTTGATCAGATATTTGAAACAAACCATTATTTGTTTTTCAGCCCAAGCAATGTTTCACATATTTTTCCATGGCAAATACTACAGTGTAATCATTTGCACGTTTGTTTCGATCATCCTTAGTCCAAAGAGCGAGCTGTTAAGAAGAAAAACATCAGCCTTATCCTTTAACGTAAAACAGCATGCGATAGGTGCAGTATGTAGAATGTGGCGTCAGCTAGCGGCAAGGTTGCAGAGTGCAACTTACTGAAACTTCTCCCGCATGCCAAGCCTGTAGGAGAACTACGGTGACCGATGCAAAAATGCAAATGGCCCTGTCTAGAGCCAGTGTTTGGTTTGTCCGTTCTGGGCTACTGTAGAAACATGGTGGTGCAATATGGAGGACTCCATAAAGAGGACTCGCTCCGTATGTAGATATAAACGGCTCACTCTAAGTTAATGAAAACGCAAGTCGTATGTTCAGTTGATTATACAATAAAGAAAACATACTTGTTAATATTACATTTCTGCCAATAGATTATAAAATTGCTGAGGTTTAAAAATAGGACAGAAACAAAATAGGCCATTCAAAATGTACATGTAACTAAATAATTATTATGGTTTATTAACATTTTGACCATGAGTAAGTTTTGCTTGGAGGCTTTGCTAACGTAAAATATGCATTATGAGAATTAATGTACATCATTTTCCATGACATTTAAAAATCAATGACTACGGATATTAATATCTGTAAAGTTTACGTGCCAATGAGGAATAGCTAGAAATCGGACCATTTAATTGATGACAAACACAAGTACTGTTTCCCCCCCAAAACATGTATAACAAGTAATATGCCTGATACAACATCTACCTAAGCAACATAGGCCTACTAAAGGACACCACAACATGTTCTTGTGAAAAGTACCACTAATGAGCAGATATTTGGATGTTTTCTACATAAGCAAAGCATTTGTGTTTGGCCTACATTTGTGTATGAGCACCATGTGTGGAGTGTGTGACGGGCCATAGACCATCATGGACACTAATGCAAATCTATAAAGTGTATTTGCTCTTAAAGCTATATTTCAAATATACTTTAGCCTTTACATTTGCTTTGTAGTTGTGTAATAACTTTTACCTCTTTGGTATTTTTTTTTCAGTGGCGGCTCCACCAAATTCTTGACTTTAACTTAGACCAAATGTAGTCGGCCTCAACTGTTTCCCAACCCAGACTATAGTTTACATATTTGTATACTGTTGTTTTTTTAAGAAAATACTGCAACCCTTCGAGTTTATTCGCCTTTCTTCCCTGTTTACTTTCAAACAGATACCAACTTTGTCCTGGGAAACGCCCAGATAGTAGACTGGCCCATCGTCTACAGCAATGATGGTTTCTGCAAGTTGTCGGGGTACCACAGAGCAGAAGTGATGCAGAAAAGCAGCACCTGCAGGTAGGCAAGAGGCTCTATGTGTCTGACATGTGTTAGGATTACAGTTTTCAAATGCTAAAGAAATGAGATACAGAAACATGATGAGAGAACATGTCTAACAGCTTTTTTTGTTTAACTCATTCCGAAGATAATATAACAAGCTATTATTTTTTTAACAAGCATATTTTGCTAGATCCACATTCAAGATTAGCCAGTGACATTGCAAGAAGTTGTTAAATCTACAGCTATCTTGTCAATCTGGATGAGCTTCATCTTGGCTGGCAAAGCTAAAATAATCATGCTCCAGTTTTGAGAGCAGTCACAGAGGATGACTTTCTCTACAAGGGCTTTTTTTTATGTCATAAGTGCCTGCAGTACAAAGTTATGCGGAGCTCTCGCTTATAGATTCCAAGTTTATTATAGCCATTTTCTCTTAAATTGATCTGTTTGTTTTTACACCCCCTATACCACCAGGCAGAGCATCCTCATTTTGAGGGGATTACTTTTTAATCAGCTGCAGGTGTATACAGTGTTTTTGGTTTTGAACTCTATGGAACATTTTGGCTTATTTTAAGAGAAAGGGGAAACGGTGCTGCAAATACTCACTGTACATGCCACCAGTGCACACGTGCAGTGTTTTGATTCTTTTGCATGATTCCTTATTGATTACTGTAGCAGGTTGAGAGGAAGAGTTAATGCATCAAAAAAAAAAAAGTATTTTCAAATCAAACATGTCAAATTTCAATTTGGTTAGTGGGCTGCAGTCATGTGGTCATTGAATCAGTCCGTTGTGGCTAAGAGGGTCTACAGTCATCCAAGCAGCTCTGTGAGGCTGAACTTAGAAGGTATGATGTTAATCACATTCATCAGCTTAGTGTGTTTAGATGATAATCCTTGCTAATTTCCAATAGCACTTAACACAAACTATGTCTGAGGCTGATTTGAATGTTTTGCAGTTTTGCAGCTATTTAATCATAAAGCAAAGTATTGTACAAACTGACATTTTGAGGGTGAAGATGTACTGATAAAGTCAAGGGATCACCAAAGCTATTTCAATTAATCCTAAAGGGGAATATTAATATCTCTACCAAGCTTTAGGAAAACCCATAGTCGTTGAGGCATTTTACTTAAAAACACAGATTTCAACGTCATGGTTTCACTAGAGGAGAAAAGTCAGGTGATCACCAGTCATCAGGATGCATCCTCTGGTGAACATGAATGTCTGTACCAAATTTGATGTCAATTCATTGAGTCGTTGAGATATTTGGAATAAAGTGCTGGATTAACCACCTGATAGACAATGTGACCCGTATAGCAATGGCGCTAGCTACAAGGCTATGAATGAGGAACCACCACCAAGCTTTTGATTTATGGTTCTTCATTGCAAACATCAAATAAAGTTATTAGCTCTGTGTAGCAACCATAATGATGAAAGTGTGGACACGGGTGAGGTTACTTCATTGGCTCAATAGTGAATCACAATATATTCTGCTATGTTGAAGTGAATGAGAATATCACAGTTAGAATGAATATAATATTCCCATCATTTAAGACAAAGATAGAAACCAGATCAAAGACAAATCCGTGATGTAATCGGGTTGTAACGATTGAAAGTGCTTCCACATCACCGACTGCAACGGTGAAGCTGTGGACAGTGTCCCCGGGGTGCTCGCTCCAAAACTGTTTACATAAAAGAACTCTTAACTAATTTCTGGACCTGTGTGTATTATGTAGTAAGCCTGCCAGTAAGCACTATATTAATAGAATCACATGGAAACAGTTGGTGCTGCCAGATTTTAAAAACCGTGGGAGATTTCTTTTGTTGTGGGAGATGCAGTGTGTCTCAGCCAGCACTGTGGCTATTACTGATTTAGACCCTCGGGTCCCCTAAGCATAAGCTTCAGAACACTTGCCAATACAAATATTGAACCGTGTGTATGCCGATTTGTCATAGGTCTATTTTTAGGTTGCTAGATGGAGTGAAGTCATGCGTTTGTAACAGGAAGGAAAATCTTCTGACTTTATTTGAGATCCAATAGAAAACATGTAAATAGTTTAAATGCAATTGGTTTAATATGTATAAATAATACCATACATTTCAGTCAATTAACTATTCAGCAAGTGAATAAGCCTTTGTAGTATTTACTGGATGCAACAGCTAGACCCAAAGGTGTTGTGAAAATAAGAATGACATTTTTATAGGAAGTGAAACAGTAATTAATCAAGTAAACATACCCATACATAGAGTCCACAGTCATACATGCCTTTATCTCTTCACGCGTTGATTATTGTAAAGCATATTTCTCCTCACGCAGTGCATCTGCTCTTAACCGTTTGCTGGTAATCCAAAATGCTGCTGCCAGATTACTCACTGGGACAAATCGACGGTCTCACATCACCCCCATACTCCGATCCCTTCACTGGCTCCCTGTAGAGTATCTGATCCACTTTAAAATGCTCACTCTCACTTGCACTACACGGTCAGACTCCCGCATATGTAGCTGAACTACTTCACCCTTATTCACCCACCCTCTCAGCAACACCACTCTCAGGTCAAACGTGTTAAATTATCTGTCTGTGCCACGCACTCGCCTTAAGACCCGAGGTGACCCAGCTTTTGAGGGCGTAGCACCAAGGTTGTGGAATATTCTGCCTGCACATCTACGTTTTGCTGATTCCATGAATTCATTCAAAAAGCAGCTCAAGACATATCTGTTTAGACTGGTGTTTGACAATATTATTTGTTATAAAAAGGGGGTGTGACATCATGATTGACGGCTGTAAATGACAGCTCCATGTGTGTTCATCAGTGTTAGCAGACACATATGATGTTTCTGAAGCACGAATCACAACTCTGTCTTATACAACATGCATCAATGATCATAAAGGTATTTCTAAAGATATATCGGTTGGTTGTTTGTTGTGTCTTTAGAGTGAAACAGCTACCGGGGTGTTAATGTAGCAGCTAGGTGGCTCACGCTGTAAAGCTGTGCCTGTGCTCGGATCCTGATTGGCTTGGGCGGATGTGTGGGCGGGACTTATATACCCCGGCTCCAGCCTGGAGGTATAAAGAGAATTGGATACATTCATTCCTATAAATGCATCAAAAAAAGTTCCGCCGATCTTCCGCATCCATGGGCCCATAGAGCAAGCACACTCAGGAGCCCAATGAAGGAGCCCAGCCCTCGGTCCAGCCCTCGGTCCTCGGCCTCGTTCACATTAACAGAGGAAGGAAAATAACTCTGGATGCAGGCCTATGAGGGCTATTCAAGTGTTGGTGCTGGGAAGTTGATTTACGAATGACAGCAAAAGCACAAGATGGCAGCTCCTGTATCTGGAATATTTTAGCTTAGCTGGGAAGAAGTGGAGATACGTTGTTCATCTATATATACAGTCTTTGGCTCCAACAAGTGCATTTGGGTATAGCATATATATTTAAGACACAGTAATGAGAAATGTCACTTTTACCTCACAAAACCCATTTTAGGCAATAACTCAATAGTTGAAATGCTAATTATGACAATTTACACGGATGTCTAAGAGGATAAAATGATGAAGTGGTGACGTTTAGGACAGACATGGATGTAAACGGCAACTTGACTGGTTGGCGGAGGCATACAACCGTGAGACGGTAATCCTAGTTTTACATGAGTCCTAACTCTTTGACTATAAATCATTAACATTCCCCACATGATATTGGCCGTCTGTTTGAAAAACATTTGTTTACTTTCAGATGAAGGTTTTTGACATTATACATGACTTGTACCGTTTTAAAATGTGGGTTAGTTGGTTCATGATAAGTAGTTTCAATAGGTATCACTACCCCCCTTTCATTGTTATTCATACCTCTGTCTGTTTTAAACATTTTGGTCTTTTTTTCTGTTAAACATCTCCTTGAGCCTGATTATGAGGCCATAAAACATTCACAGAGTTTGGATGTCTGATGTTTTTGAGGATGACTCAAACATAAAATGTATGCTCATCTCCCCAGAGTGCTGCATCTAATATCCGAGCCTCTTTTGCAGCAGACGTGTGTGGATCAAAGATATTATTTCCATCTCAGCTGCTCTTACCGTGTTCTGTGTCGCCTCAATTATGCGTATTTTTTTTTTTGTTCTATACTGGATCCTGTAAACATACAGTGACAAACATGTGGGAATTTTTCACGCATGACGATAGTCGGTTGAGGAATATTATTTTCTTTCACATTCCTCCTGGCTCAGAGGAAGAGAGAAGAAGAAGAAGAAGAGAGGACATTCATCAGTGATATTACATCAAGCACTGGTCTGAAAAGTCTCTGCAGCGTCAGGATGTAGTCTCATTAAATTTAGCCTTCCCTTTTTTATATCATAACAAACTCCAAGTTATATTTAGATCGTGCTGGAACAGGCTGTTACTGAGTGTGGCAGTAACAAGCAAGGTGAGATGAATGTCTCTGCAGCGCGGTTTAATGTGCTCATGGTTGCTTGACCCATCTTCCGGTTTAATTTGTTTTTGAGAGATACTGCATTTGGACAATTAGACAGTGGGCTGCATTCATCTTTATTTAATGCTTTCAGGATTCATTTCAATGAGTTTTATTCTACTTCTACCCTATATTTGATACAGCCTAATTTTGCAGTGTACACACCGAGAGGTCTATAAATAGGAATCTGGTCTGCACAGTTTAGGTGTAAGCCTGATTAACTGCATATCATTTTGGGTTTTTGTTTTTTTTGCTTGAAAATATACCGTTGAATTTAAGAGGAAACCATGCATAAAGCATAAGAAGTTGCCATCTTAAGAAATTGGAGAACAGGACTAATCCTTGAAACCAGCGAATACTTAGCAACCAACGCATTACGACGATCACACATTCAAGCCTTCCTCATCACACTCGTTCAAGAACCGAGCTCGCTCGTCCAACGTGCCCCTGCCTATTCAATATTCAAATTGTTTTCTCTCCCCTTGTGTCTTCCAGCTTCATGTACGGGGAGCTCACGGACAAGGACACAACGGAAAAAGTGCGACTAACATTCGAGAATTATGAGATGAATTCGTTTGAAATACTGATGTACAAGAAAAACCGTAAGTAGCGAGTCTCACGTCAGGAAAAGAGTAAAATTTGTTTCCACTCTCTTGTCGTGCAAATCTATTCAGAGTTCCTGTAACATAGTTGAGTTCAAAGGCAGCCCAGAACATTTCTACCTCTGTAGAAATGTGCTAATTGTTGAGAGCCAGAGAAACCTTCCCCAGAAAAAGATGTTTGCTTCCACTAGCAGGTATACCCTCCCTCTGCTTGCAGGTGTTACAGGAAAACATTGAAAGTTTTGCAAGTCCAGAACATCTCAGTTTACAGTATGCAAATGAGATTTCCTCTAAAAATAAGCAGATGATGCAGCTAAGTATGTGTGTGTGTGTGTGTGTGTGTGTGTTCTTTTCATACTTTCAGGGACACCTGTTTGGTTCTTTGTGAAGATTGCTCCCATTCGAAACGAACAAGAGAAAGTGGTCCTGTTTCTTTGCACATTCAGTGACATCACAGCCTTTAAACAGCCCATTGAAGACGATTCCTCTAAAGGTTAGTGGCAGCAAATTTAGTTTGTTCAACTTCACACCTTCTATCAAAAATAATGTATTTTTATGACGCTGCCAATGAAAGTCAATTCCACTCTGGAGTGATTCAAATAGAAAGAAATACAGTACATTAGATCCATCCTAAAACTTATACAGAGATAATATAACGAGAGAGGCAGAGGTAACATTACTCTGCCAGCGATCGCCATCCGACCCTGTGCATTGTGCATCTGCTCTGGCAAACACCCACTCAGTCAAATACCCATCATGATGTCTATCGGCACACAACACAACAAATGATTCATTGGACTGTACAGCTGCTGAAGACGAGCCAAAATAGAACATGAATCAGTGCAACTACAAACGAGCACCAGTGACGAATATAGGATGGGAAATTATCATGAAACTGAGATTGTAGTTGAGCATCAACAGGTAGCGCTCTGATGTAAAGCATGTCGCATTAGTAAAGCTTTAGCTCTAGCCCTCTTTCCAACAATCAATCAATAACAAGCATTGATTTGTGCTGCCTGAGTAGGAGAGAGGGACTGAAGGTGAAGAATCCTACAAAGATAAATAATGTAGCGGCCCACATAAGCGAGGTTAGGAATTGTCCTCACTGTTTACTCATACCTGCAGTCTCTCTTTTTAACCTCAACCAAGTATTTTAAACCTACAATAACAGATTTTCTTGGCATCAGACACAAGCTGTATACAGAACATTGACATATTATCACCTTTTATGGTGAACTTTTTACACAGCTCTGTTTTTAGTCTCCACCACTTTTTTTTTTAACAGATTTGTTTTATTTTATTTACAGAAAACAGCTGCCCACTGCAGCCAAGAATGATGAGATCAGTGAAAGTGAAGTAAAACACAAAAGCTGCAGCCCAGAAAATAAAGACCTCAGCTGATAGATGCTATGAAGCTCAGTAGAGTTGAAGGGAAACTGCTTTAAATTGCCCTCAAAAAAAACTCAACCATGTGTTTGGAATGAAAAAGATGATATTTCTGGTTCTGCTGCTTTGATTTTGATTCTCTTTCTGAAACGGTCAATGACAAAATATTACAGGAATGTAATGTTTAATTGATTGAATGCTCTTTTAATCGACTGGTTAACAATTATAATTATTTATGGATCAGTAAGCAGCAGTTAAAAGTTCTTGAATATACAAGAAAGATAATTTAAGAGTAGGATAAAAATGCAGAAAAAGTATAATATGGTATTAAAAACCTAAATGGACATGTTGTTAATGGCTTATTACTGCTCTAAATGATTGTGCATACTTTACCTGTTTGTAATCCTCAGGCTGGGGAAAGTTTGCCCGACTGACTCGAGCTCTAACAAGCAGTAGAGGAGTCATACAACAGCTGCAGCCCACAGTTCACAAAGGAGAGAATGTCCACAAGCACTCCCGCTTAGCTGAGGTACGGAGGAATATATGTGATTTCTATTTCTGATTTAAATTCAGTAAATATAAGCACTGTATACCTGAGAACAAACTCTGGACAGAGGAATCTTTTAGATCATGTCTACAGCTCTTCCTATGAGCAGGTGAGCTATAGTTAGTCAGGACGACGTCATTTCAGCTCCAAGCTACAGTCTTTTTTTGGCCTCCCTCTTTGTATATTTATTCATCCATCTGGGTTTAGCTGACTGGCTGTTTTTGTTAGGTACTGCAGCTCGGCTCAGATATCCTACCTCAGTACAAACAGGAGACCCCCAAAACCCCTCCTCACATCATCCTGCACTACTGCCTCTTCAAGACCACGTGGGACTGGGTCATCCTCATCCTCACCTTCTACACGGCCATCATGGTTCCCTACAACGTCTCCTTCAAGACGAAGCAGAACAACGTGACGTGGCTGGTGGTGGACAGCATCGTGGACGTCATCTTCCTGGTGGACATCGTTTTGAACTTCCACACCACGTTCGTCGGACCCGCCGGCGAGGTCATCTCAGACCCCAAACTGATCCGAATGAACTACCTGAAGACCTGGTTTGTTATCGACCTGCTGTCCTGCCTGCCGTACGACGTCATCAACGCCTTCGAGAATGTAGATGAGGTGAGTGCGGTGGTCTGCTGTTTTCTTCGTCTTAGGTGATTGTAAACAAATATTTTGGCGTTTTAGACTGTTGGTTGGCCATAACAGGCAATTTGAAACGTTAATGTAACTTTGCGGTAAGTTTCAATCTGATATATCTGCGGTGGATATGGTGTAGCCAGGCCTATCACCTCCGCTAAAATGGAGGTGGGTTCCCAACTTTGAGAAATATACAGTAAATCAGCAAATCAATAGCAAATAGTGTCTGCTTCTTTACAAATACAGTAAAAGATAGATGTACTTATTTTACGTTTCTTAGGTGATTGACAGGTTATTAGGTTTCCACGCAGGAACTCAATAATGACATGACGGTGACAATCACGTCCTGTTCACTGGTTGTTGTTTTGTATAGTGACGGCGAATGAGCAACATAATAATATGCTTGTTTGTGAATTCAATAATGTCTGACCGTAATGAGGAGTGTTTGCCGGAGAGATATCACAGGATCTTGAGATAATTGGATTTAATTGGGGAAGGGGAGTTGCATTTATAATCTGAGGCACTCGTCAGCGCTCCGCTGTGTCACTGATGTCCGCAAACCATTAACACCTAATGACAGCTAACAAAAGGACTGGATCATGCGCTGTGATTAAAACTAAGGTATGTTGTCTTACCAAACGACCATTTTGAGTCATTCACATTTAACCGGATGAATTATTTTAACCATCTACTTTATATGAATAAATTAGATTGTACAGTTGTGTTTAAAGGTTTACTGAATGTCTCAGTTTTGTTGTAAAGAGGAAAAAGTCAGTTATGACATAACAATGCTCGCCTACATTTGTTTAATTTAGGGGGGAAATAACTTTACAGAATGCTTACATGTTAAATATTGTATGTTTACTGATTAAATCTATTTACGAAGTAGTTTTATCTCTAGCTGCAACTGATTAAAAAATATCTTTTTATGATGCAACCACAGCTTCTGAATCGGCTCCAAATGTTCACACACACATTGATTAAATGGAGCCTCGGGGTCCTGCACATGCCGGTTTTCATTGTAATAATGCATCGTGTGTGTGTGTGTGTGTGTGTGTTATTGGGCATGTAAACTGCTGTGAAAGCGTTAAACGGCATGGTGCGTCACAGAGAGCAGCACAATGTATGTCGGCTCTCAGAGGCTGTCGGGCCGCACACACAATACGAGGTAATATGAAATGCTTTTAAAAAAAAGAAAAGCTTGTTGATGGGCCGCGAGCACAGGGTTGTATTTGCAAGTCCAGCATTTTTGTCCCCTTTCTAGTCTTTCAACGTTTCAGCATCCTAAATGCTGACAAGTTCAAGTGGCTGGAGCAGAAGCAGTGGGGGGTCAGCAGGAGGGAAAAACTACAACCTTGTGTGATGTAAAAGATATGGCTGGTGTCATTTCATCTTTTTAGTATTATCAACGAAAATGAACTAATTTTTCTAGAATTAAATTGTCTGTATTACTCGTGTGTTGTTGTACAACACCTGTTAAAAAGAGCCACACTTTTACTTTTGGGAGACAAATTCTGCCGGTTTGCTTTTGTTGTTGTATCGTTGATGTCTAACGAAGGCCTCTGTGTTGAAAAGCGAAAGCATTTCCCTCCTCATAAAACATTTGCAAAGCAGATTTTTCTTGACCTGTGTTGTTTACATCCATGTTTAGCTGTTAATAGTCTTCTTCTTTCATGCCTTTGTTGGTGCATTACTGCATATGTTGGCGTGTTACCGACACCTGGAGATCAGTGGGATAGTGTGAAAATATTTCCACTCCACTTAAAAACTCCCATAGCGCTACTAGATGTAAAAAATGAAATAAAAACTACAGTAGGCTCAGTAGCTGCCACAATCGTATCATTAAGGGTGATTGATTTGTTTCACTGAGGCGTCAGCGGGGAGGGTGTCATAGTGGCCTATTGGTGAGAATTACAATTATTGAAAAGATCTTTAATAAAAGACCTTAAAGCCCCGTCTGCGATAACCCACCAAAATAACAGCTCCAGTTACACTGCGCATGCGTTACACCACATTTTCACTATTTTCTGACATTTTATAGAATTGACTGTAGTTGAAAAGAAAATCAACCAAAGTGAAACAGATTTTTAGTTGCATGCCTGCACTTTACAGTACAGTTTTCTGTGAGGTTCAAGTGTACATTTAGTCTACGATAAGAGTGAGGACCCACTGGCTGTAAACCAACATGAAAGATGATCATCTTGCAGTGTGTCTCTGCAACAACTCAGTGACTCCAAATTGCTCCAAATTGCTCTGAGGCAATCCATGGCAAGGGTAAATGAGAGCGGGTAAACAATCGCCCGTGTTATTAAAGCGGGAGCCGAAACATCTTGCTGCTGCTACAGACCTTAACGACTGACATGGATAACTTTGATGGCTGTTTTACCCCACACAGGTTTCCAAATAGGGAGGGTAAGATCATTAACGAGAAGCGGCTGTCAAAGTTGTTCTTGGCAATCTTAAAGTGGCGTACGTTACCTCGAGACTGACTGAACCACAGACGTCGTGTCATTTCACTTTCTAATGACCGATAACTCAAAACAACAGCAGATGAAACCACTTAATGTTGCTGCAGAAAGTTAATGGTGCATGCTTTGGTCATGCTGTACAAACACAGAGAAGGTTTTATGTTTCCTTTTAATTTGAAGCCTTGGTTGAGTATTGAATTTGTCATGTGTTTATTCATCGCTTACTACTGATCAAGTGTCTTCTCTCTTACTTGTGCTTCGTTTTTGTTTTTCTTCTTTTTCATCCGTTCTGTTTGCATGGCCTCCCCCCCCCCCCTCTTCTGCCTGTATTCATGCATGGGACGCGATGGGAAGAATTGGAACCACCGAGCTGTCACTCAAGTAGGCTTCAGTTTGATTAGAATATGATGATATGACAGTTTTGTGTTTTTTATTTTTGCGTGTAGACACTTTGACGAACAGGCTTCAACAGCAATAGTCACACGCTCAAACGTTTCCTGTGACATTTATTCTTGCCCCAACATTTCAGCTGTGGGGCTCAATGAGAGTACGACAGCAGAAGCATCAACGCATGAAATAAATGTCACAGAAAACAAGTTAAGATTTGTGCCGCTTGGTTTTTTTTGTTTCCTTGCTGAAGCTTTTCAGTGCCAGGAGATAACATCTATCAGATTATGTTCTCCAGTACCATTTGAAAATGGACAACGGCGTCATTAAAGCTGCTTGAGAGCCGATTCAGTCCTCACGTCAAAAACATGTTATCTAATGAGCTTTGAAGATGCTGTAGGAGTATTTTTTTAACTGATTTCGCTTCACATTTAAGGTACAAACATCTCATTTAACTCTTGGCAAATAAGCATATTTCCAGGAATGTCCATCTATCCCTTCAATGAAATATCTATAATCTATTTCATGTCTATTGAGTGATGAACTTTTCTCCCAACTTGTGTTCGCAGAGTTTGCAGCAGAACTCAAAAACACGATTGCACTGATTATCGAATTCTGTTGGAGCTCAGGTCTGTAAAGTGATTTGAGGGAAGCTGAGGTGTCTGGCAGGCAGCTAGATCAGATCAAGTGACAGCCAGTGCTGCAGTTGTACGCGCATTGCAGACCACAGCACATTAGCAGATCAATAACCCTGCGCGCCCGCACACACACACACACACACACACACACACAGAGAGAGTACCAGCAGCAAACTGATGGGACTGCAATTGTCTGTTTTGAGTGGGTGTTTCAATATATTCGGTTAAGCTGAGTAGACATTTCGCTGCTGAGTAGACATTTCGCTGCTGGTTATGTAACGGCTAGAAGTTGTAAAATCTCATCACATTGTACGGGAATGTTTTTCAAATCAAGTCAGCATATGTTCCCTCTTTGAATCTTGTGTTTTCTCCCCGTCTTGTTTGTGGTTACTGTTCTCTTCACATCACATCTGCTGTAGGTTCACACACTTTCATATTGATTCTTTAAAATGCTTTGAAGTGTTCTGATATAATGTGTTTTTTGTTCAATATCTGGTGTGTAATTAAGACCCTGAGCAAACACTGAGGTGCATAACTTCATCATACTTAATGTGCACAGTTTCATTGATACTTTAATATGATGAATACAGAAGTTTAAAGTGAAAGCGGATTAAGGCAGATAATCGTGACAGTTTGTGTGATATTCGGCTGAGGTTTGCTAACTGAAGTTTTTTAATTTAACCATTACAAATGAGTAAACATATATAACTGTTTGAAATATATTTGTCAATAACTATAGCTCCTGCTGTGGGGACCCATTAGAGTCTTGTGATTAAACGTATAATGAATGATAATTTAGCAAAACACAGCTTTAATTATGTATTATATGCCTACATGGGTCAATTGTTTAATTGTTGATAAACACTGCACATTAATAAACACTTATAAATGTCTTCTTAGCTACATACAACTACATAATAGGGTGTAATAAACAGTTTAATAACTTTTAATATAGTGCTAAATAACGGGGACTTTAAGTGTTACTATGTATCAAATCAGCATCATCTTGGTATTAATATAATTTCAGGTGTAACATTCAATTTAAATCACAAATAGAAAGTAACAATTCCAGTATTTCAACTTTTTCATTTAATATATAAATGATAGTTTTTGTCTTGTGTGAGTATTGTTTCTGATGTCCGCCTCTCTTTGTGTCTCTCTGTGTTTCTTTCACTCCTGTTTTAGGGGATCAGCAGTCTGTTCAGCTCGCTTAAGGTGGTCCGGCTTCTCCGTCTGGGTCGGGTTGCCCGTAAACTGGATCACTACATTGAGTACGGGGCGGCTGTGCTGGTCCTGCTGGTGTGTGTTTTTGGACTGGCCGCTCACTGGCTGGCATGCATTTGGTATGTTCGACACATTTATTCTTTATTGGTGGCAATAGACAAGTTTTTGCTTTAACTTAAAAATATAAAGTAAATGTTGATTGCATAATTACTTATGCATATGAATTACATAACAAGTTGTGATAGACTGCCTTCACTGTGATTAACACATAAAAACTGTGTTTCTAGTGCCTTAAAGCCTGAAAGAGTAGTAGTGGTTTCAAGAGAACTATATTTTCTCATTAATATGTGAATTTTTGGTGCGCAGATCATCTACTCTACAGGGAGCAAATGTGGTGGAAACATTGAGTTTCCATCATGTATTGATTTACTATATTTATGAGAACGTACAAACACAGACGGATGCCATAATGACGAGTTATTGTATTATGACTTTTATGATGTTTTATGTATCGCGATGTACTTCCAACTATGCAAAATAACCAGTTGCACACATTTTCACGTCATGACAGACGCCTGACCCATACCTCATGAATCAGGATTACAAGACATCTTCAAGTAATATATTCATAACCACAACACATCGACAAGACTTCAAACAATGTTAACATGCAAGCTATCGTGTATGCTTAATCTTTTGGTTCACAAGCAGGTATCCCACAAGAGGCTTTGGCCAATATCACAAACATAAACCTCAGACTCAAGACACCATTAGAAATATATAGCTCCTGTATTGTTTAATTTCCATGTTGAATATGTACCACACATTTTCAGTTCCTCGCTACGATTGTTTTTGATAAATTCACCCCTTCAACAGAAACGTCCACGACCTGACTGATTATTTGTTGCCTCCTCTCCCCGCTCCAGGTTCAGCATCGGTGATTACGAGGTTATCAATGAAGAAACCAACTTCGTGCGCACGGACAGCTGGCTCTACATCCTGGCCGAGACGTACGGCACACCGTACCGCTTCAACGACAGCGGTTTAGGGAAGTGGGAGGGCGGGCCGAACAAAGACTCGGTCTACATCACCTCGCTGTACTTCACCATGACCAGCCTGACGAGCATCGGCTTCGGTAACATCGCCCCGACCACAGATGGAGAGAAAATCTTTGCAGTGGCCATGATGATGATTGGATGTGAGTGGAGGTGTTTTATCTTTCATCCAATGTAGCAGATACATGATACATGAGACATTGAATATGCTCTTTAAAGCCACAGTCCACAGAAGCAGGTGAATAAATGAATTACGAATGGAGCCATCGAAGTTCAGAAAATATAACTCTACAGATGATTAGCTGAGCAATATTTCCCACTATGCTGCTCAGGTTGAATGTAGTTCAGTGCCAGAACTATGGACAGCAGTTTTTATTTGATGTACAGTATAATAGGCCTTTGTTGACTTTCACTGCCTGCTACCTACAGCGCAGTATATTCCTTGAACAAAAAGTCACACTTGAAAAACCCTTTCCAAGCCTAAAGCACAGGAATTGTTCGGCACAGTTCAAGTTTACAAATGTTTACATACTGAAACTAACATGTTGAATGATGACGTGCGTTAAATACAGCTATTACGTTTTTGTAGCAGGTGACATTGAATGTGGCTGAGTTTTGATGTGAGCATGTGTTGATAATAAATGGTTGCATAGTTCATTTCTTATTGCATTCATTTTGTAAATTTGAAAAAGTGAGAAACATAATTTCTGGCCTCTGTAGACGTGTCTTTTCATCTGACATCGTGTTCACATTTGCTGATTTGGGAGTTTTTTTTTGCACTAACCAATAAGTAGTGACCAACTCATCCACATGCGTCTGTTCTAGCTGACACATAAGTCAGGTTAGCAAGAGATCTGTATGTCACTAAGCTTCTAAAACCAGATGTTTCAATACGCAGATGAATTTCGCTGTGTCACTTCTGGTGTGACTCAGTCGTACAGCGGTGTTGACCGCAACCACGATTGACTCAGTTTGAGGCTATTTTATGTCGCTATTTATCAATATTAACTATTTTTCTGGGTCTGCAACAGGAAGCTGGCGTCTCCATTCTCACTACTACAAAGCTCTGATATTCTAAGTTGTCCGTGAGCACAACACAATGTTTATTTGAATCACTGAAAGAATCCCAGATGTGTGCACATTTCAAAGCATCACTGTTGTGACCAGTTTTACAGAAGAGCTTCTAGTGGAAATACTGAGAAACTATTAATTACCATAGTTGGTAAAACTGAAGCGATATAGAACGAAAGTACCCTGAGACAGTATAGCAATGTATGTGACATTTAAACAATGTAGAAATAAGAAAGATTCAATATGTTTCAGATTGTTTTCAAAAAACTAGCTGTAGCTTTCTCCAGTTTATTTGTCTCGTCAACACTGCTGTCATCTGCAGTCTGTCCACTATACTGTGACATACAGCAGGAGCTTTGTTATTCTTGCCTTCATTAGACTCATTACCTCGGTCTTCTGTGTGATGTTGTGCTGAATTATTCAGCTTTTCTGGAGCGTGATGCATTTACTCACACAAGGTTCCTGTCTGAAATGCCTCAGAACAGCAGCTGAAACAGCGAATAAGACAGCTACTCCTCAGAGGCTGGAGTTTAGTGGAGCATTTTTTTTAACACATCCTGTGGCTTGCTGTTAATTTGTAAGGCTGTGTGTGTTTTGGTAAAACATGAGTGATGCATTTGGACAAAAACGGCCGTCATATACGTTAGTATCTGAAAAAATTGGACTAAAATTACATTTACCGTCACCTGTTGTGGTTTATCATTAACCAGTTTTGCTGCAGGCATAAATAACAATGCAGAAAGCTGCCTCCACTAACTAACACAACATCGTATCTGCTCGGAAGGAGGCATATTCTCACAGCTTGTCCTTCTTTCCACATCTCAATATTAAACATTTTAGAGGAATCTTCTACTTGTGTGGCTCATAATACAGTGTGCGGCGCATTTATGTGTGACGGCACGCAGAGAGCAACACCTCCAAGCAATAACGGACCGCAGGATCAATTCTGCACAGCGCTCCCTCCGATCCCTCTGCAATCACACCTCACCTCTGTTTCAAGCCAACAGCTCAACCCTGAGACGAGAGGACGATTGTCCCCTCCTCTCCTCTCTCTTTCTACCTTTTGGCTGCTCAGGTTTAATTAAGGATACACTGTCGGGGGGGGGACTGGCAAAAAACTCATCTGCAGACTTGTAGAAATTTGTCATTGTGAGATACGAATCTAAATATCTAAAATAAACAGACAGCCTCGGGATGATTCAGTTGTAGATGCGATCTACTGTAGTTCATGGCTGTGCTCTATGAAATATGGATGCTCTGATACTGTTCTATTTTTACCACCAGCACTGGATCGGTGCTGACGAGGGATTGGGAGGGACGGGGGGGGGCCTGGGAAACGGGGCCACTATACATATGTCCTGTTTCTATAGCAACCGATGGCCTGGGGATTGAGTTTCTGACAACTGTCTTATGACTACCCCGCAAACAAGCCAGCTGTTGGATGCCGAGCAATCGCTGCGACGAAGTTGCGTACGTCAGCATGTTGGGGACGAGATGAAGCTCGGCTCCACGGGGACAGATTGAGTTTCCTTTGTTGCAGCATTTTTCTGTTTATCGGAGAAGTGAGCGTTGTGCCATCTGCACTGAAGCTTCAGGAAGCAGTCGCAGTCATCCCGGAACTTTCGTTAACCCCCCCCCCCCCCAAAAAAAGGGATGATTGTCAAATCATCTGATTTAATTGACTCAGACCGTACTGACCGTATTGATCTGTAATAAACAGTAGCGTGTTCTTTGTGTTGAGGTGATATCATACTGGTCGTGATAACATGGCGGTACAAGTGAGTGATGGGGATGAAAGGATGAAAGATATGGTTGTCCTCGCCCTTGAGGAGTTTTGAGCGCTTTTTAATTAGTATTATTCCCTGCGCAGTTTGTCTTTGTTTGTGCGCTGTGAAATAAAAAAACACGCGCTAACGCATACACAAGTTACTGTCATCGTCTGCGGATCATTGAAATGTGTGCCTGGTATGTTTCCTCTCCTTCCCTTCTAGCAGGGCTAATTAGGGCTCCATTGCCAAGAGAACACTACTCACATAGGGCAGACATCTGATAGCTTTGATCCACACACACACACACTCCAGCTGTTGCACCAGTTCAACCACCCAACCACCTCAGAGATGCACTGCAGTACTCTTTCTTTAATTCTTCTATCACAAGACACGTTAAGAAAAGATGTCCTTATTTAGTATGCTGTAACTATGCTAGGATGGATGCCTCCACACACACACACACACACTTAACACAAAGCTTGTTCTTCCTATTTGATGAAAGTTTTTAGGATTATTTGAAGGGAATGATGAGTAGTAATTGTTAATTTCCCACGTGATTGATTAAAATTCTCACCACATAAAACAATATATATGTTGCACATTTGGTCTGATATATCATGTGATGTAGATTATATTAATGCCAGCTGTGTTTTGAAGCTCAAACCACATTTTGGAGATTTATGTGTCCCCATAAATAACGATTTTGAGATTTTTATATCCTTGTAAATCAGGTTTGTGGATGTCTTTATGACCCATAAACCAGGTATCTGAGATGATGATTTTCACATTTATTTTGTGCTTCTGAATGCTGTTTTGGAATTTTTCATGTTCCAACTTAAAATGTACTGGAGTGTAATGTGACTGTGTGTTTATAAGCCTCCTGATAGGTCTTTCAAAACCCACAAGATTAAAATACAAAGCATCTACTTTACAGGTGTTGAGCCAAACACTTAATCCCTATAACAAAGGAGACCAGACCAGAGACGATCAGATTATTTACACAGATTCATTTTATGTTTTTTTTTAGCACACAATTTACCATCAGGTCCATTCAAGCAGCTACAAACTTGATGGGTACCTGTATGTCGTATCAAAATAAAACTCCTCCCTTCTTCTTCTCTGTACTTCCCCCAGCTCTTCTTTACGCCACCATCTTTGGTAATGTGACGACAATCTTCCAGCAGATGTACGCCAACACCAATCGTTACCATGAGATGATTAACAGCGTCCGAGACTTCCTCAAGCTCTACCAGGTGCCAAAGGGCCTGAGTGAAAGAGTTATGGACTACATCGCCTCCACCTGGTCCATGTCGCGGGGAATAGACACTGAAAAGGTGCGTCAGATGGCAACTTCTTTAATGCCTCCCCTAAAACGTGTCATTACTGGTTGTGATCCTGGTATTTCTTATCCTCCTCAAGTCTTTTGGAAAGCATTGGAAACCAAACCAATGTTGACATAATGTGTTAATTGCAATATTGTTAAGGTTTTTTCTGTTAGCTAAAGAACCACAAAGCAAACACAAACGTATGATGTTGATGCTCCCTAACACTAAAATAAAAAAGTCATCTTTTCATTCTTCATTTTTGTATAAACTCTCAGGCTATTCTGTGGCTGAATTTAGCAGCTTATTATGAAAATCAGACAGTGGTATGCCGTTTATGGAACAGTTATCACCAGCCATCCTATCCAATTCAGATGATGCTGAAATGATTTCAGTGTGTGGGAATTAAGCATTTAAAGCTGGCAGCAGATAAATTGAACCGATGTCGCTCTGATTGATTCGAAGCAAGGCGGCATTCATATCGCTGCGTCTCGTTTCAATCCACCTGTCCAAAATCCAATCATGGAGAAAGTTGTATTATTTTACCTCAAATTGGAAACACGACTTCATGCAGTGATTTTTGTCACCAGCAAATCTGTAGTCATAATCAAACCGTGATGCTGATTCTGTCCTCTTTATATGTTCGGGTTGCGCTGCATCTATGTTTTATTTATTTGTCTGGCTTCAGGCCACACTAAAGGGTCTAAAAATGGCATATAATCCCTCTTTGCTTGACATTCATCTTCAAAGAGATTTATTTTAAAGGCAGAGCCCTGCGACGGCCTGGCATCCTGTTGATTAGGTGTACTTCAACAACATGCTGCCACTCAGTGGCACACAGCAGAGAGGTGGGTGGACATGTGAGACTCCACCATAAAACATAATTCATACTGGACATAATTAGTCCCAACCAATGGATAAGGTTGAAGTGTTTACCAAACCTACTGAAAAAGAACGAAGCTCCGAATCTGTGATCTATATAAAACACACACCAAAGTCTTTTGATGACTGGTGATTAATTTTTTTTATTTACGGACTTATACTGCAGAAATTAATTTGATACTTAAGACATTTGTTTAATGAGCTTTCAAATCAGTACGTACCGACTATTCTGCTGTATTTGAACAACCAAAAATGATATAAAACAATAAAACTTAAGTACTCTAAAGTTACTAAAGAGTTTAGTTTGTTGACTTTATGACTTTAAAAAGGTTCAATGTGCACAGCTGTTAACGAGGCAAATATAGAAAGTGATGATGTTATGTTTAATTGAGTGGACCTGTGACCTTTTACGCTCTGGTGACGAGCAATATACCAAATGAATCACCTGTCTGGGTGCAACGTCGCCTTCTGCACACTATACATAAGCAGTGAAAGGTGATGAATGGTTCCACTCGCATTTTAATGCATTAAAACATGTTGACATTCATTGTTGGTGCTGTCAAGTGGAACAGTGAAGTTGGTCGCTGGCAGCTTACCAATTATACAGTATATATATATATATATATAATACATGTATATCTATATGTATGTGAAAGATGGCAAGCTATGGTTGTCTTCATCTAACGTGTCTGATCAGCTGAAGACTGTCCACCAGCTCTAAAGTTTAATTCATTATCTGATGAAAGACGAATCCTCATACAGCTCCTCTCTCCGCTCTTGTTTCTCTCCAGGTGTTGCAGATTTGTCCGAAGGACATGAGAGCAGACATCTGTGTTCATCTCAACCGGAAGGTGTTCAAAGAGCACCCGGCTTTCCGGCTGGCCAGCGATGGGTGTCTCAGAGCGCTGGCCATGGAGTTTCAGACCATCCACTGTGCCCCCGGCGACCTGATCTACCACGCTGGTGAAAGCGTGGACAGCCTCTGCTTTGTGGTGTCGGGATCGCTGGAGGTCATCCAGGATGACGAGGTGGTGGCCATTTTAGGTGAGTTTACAATCCATTTTTCACCGTTCCTGGTGCGTGTCTTTTCACTAAATTACACTGAGCATTTATGACATAATTAGAAATGCAATTCACCGCTTATATTTATTTCATGAAAGAGGCGGTCAAGGCTTCCGTTCCTCCCAACTGTCAACGGGTCTGCCCCAGTTCTGCTCAAGTTTTCAGATTTTCTGATTTCTTGAAGCTTAAATTAAAAATGTGACAGTGAAGCAAATATTTAAGATGCAGATGTGCTGCTACAGTATCTCTCTGCTGTCAGAATGTATTATCTTAGATCACATCAACGTCGAAAAATATGTCAGGGATGACAGTGTACATTTTTTTATTTGTCACACTCGCCTCCGGTACTGTTCTAACATAACTGTTTTGCATAGTAACAATATATTTCTGTTGCTGGAAATCCTCCTTTTCTCACTTCCTGACTGCAGTGAAAACGGATGTCTGGGGATCGTTTTTCTGCTGAGTCATGAACTCAGATTATTGAACAAATCCTGTTTGTCACAGACTCTCCTCAGTAAGATTTGGATACGGTCTGGATTATATTGACACATAGACCCTGAGAACTGAGGCAGTAACATGACACCGTACCAGACCTGATTGAAGTATAATGTAGACCCTGTCCCACTCTATGAAGTACTCTGAACTGTAGTAACCCACGCATAGTGTACATTGATAAGGAAAGAAGCATTGCTGATATTTGCGAGCCCAGTTATTCTTCCATTGCACCTTGATGTGATTTAATGATGGAGGCTATCTTTATTTATCAATTTATCAATTATTATATATCAATAAATAATAATTTTTCTTGCCTATGCTGGCCTGGTTAAATCCCAGGAGAGTATTTCCTTGAAACAATTTCATAATTTTAATTTGCCAAATAATTGATTTAGTGAATAATGGATGGAATGCTCTGGCAGGCCCAGAGACACCGTTGTGGCCGTCTTGCCGTCGATAACCTGCCATCGGTTCCTCTTTGCAACAATCAATATACTGTCGGGCTAAACCCATTGACCTAGCTGCAGACTGTAATGGAGCCTGAAGTCACAATCAAGTCTCTACTATGAAACTGACTCTCATTAGCCTAATGGCACTGTATCTGCAACAACATGTAAAGTACACAAACAAGACACACCATCTAAGGATTCATCCTCAGACTGGTGCTGTTTGAGTCCTCATCCGTCAGACGGCTCTACAAACAGGAGCTCAAAGTTTATTCATTATTGAAACTTATCTGGAAACGGTGATAGGTTGATTATTGCTTTTGCGACTTTTTTTAAAGGCTGCATTGTGTTCAGCTTTTTCATCCTGTGGTTTAAAGAAGTAATCAGATGTTGTCATCCAAAAATGAATGCTTGAATATTTTCTGCAGTCACACGGTGTGAGAAGCTGTTTATTTAGATGTTGATAACATAACACTTCATGGTTCATAGGTTATTAAAGATGGTCACATCGTGACTCTCTCTATACCACTCACTGGTCAGCTTCGACTGTGCTGCACAAATGACGGCATGTTGAGCACTTCTAAATATACTTTGAGTTTCTTAGAATATCTAACAGGCTTTTTGCAAGTTTATACTATAATTAATAGCTTTCATCAGCTATTTCATAAGCTATCAGATTTCCTGTTGCGCTTTTCCTAACGGAAGGTGGTCGAACTTCTGTTTTTGGGGACTTCCGATGAATTAAAGAGCTAAAGAGACAAATGTTTCATGAAACATCGTGGTTTGTGTTTTGCTTTGTTTGGATTGTTTTGGGGATCTTCACAGACTTGTCTCCCCACTTTTAGTTGTTTCAACACATGAACAAATCAGATATTTGGACCATTTCACCGAAGCTATCTGTCCCACCCTGTGCATGACGTAGTGAACCCTCGTGGGGGTGCGCTCGTGTGATTGGTTGAAAATGGAGGAGACATTTGATTGGCTACAGATAATTCCCTGTTGGAAAAAATGCATTTGATTTCAGCGGTGTCTCAAAAAACCCAAACATGATGCAGTGAAGTTCACACATGACAAGCAGTTTGTAAATGCAGGTTCGCATATAAATATTACAACATCCAAATATGTTTTTCATGAAAATGTCAAATGTTTTTTTACTCGGAAAGGGAGACCTGCCTTAAGAACTGCAAACACAACCTGGCAACCCAGAATTTGTTGTAATAAAAGGTCTAAAACTAATTTCTAAAGCATTAAAATGATTTATCAACCATTATTTAAGCCATTAAGTAATTAATAAAACATTAAAAAGTGGTAGTGAATTGACAGGTGATTTATTTCTCCATTACTTTACTCTTTAGACGAATCACCTGGTTTAATCAGTTTCCTCTCTCCGCAGGTAAGGGAGACGTATTTGGGGATGTTTTCTGGAAAGAAGTGACTCTCGCTCAAGCCTGCGCCAACGTCCGAGCTCTGACCTACTGCGACCTCCACGTCATTAAACGAGACGCCCTGCAGAAGGTGCTGGAGTTCTACACGGCGTTTTCCAACCACTTCTCAAGGAATCTGCTGCTCACTTACAACCTGCGGAAAAGGGTGAGTGACTCTTCAGACGGCACCAAGATAGAGAAATTCACTAAGTTCAAATGTCTGAAGACATTCTCTCATTTCCACAACAGCTGTGTACTTTGAGCTTGTTAGAAATAAATGTATTAACCGAGTCGATTCTCTTCACGTTTTACACAATATGTGTTATGAGCGGAATAGAAATAATGAAAATATTTAGAAATTTCCATTTTACCATTAGACTGACGAGAACAATTGCTGGAAAGGGGCCACTACAGAGGGAAAGTAAAAATATGTTTCTCTGCTTCTCAAAACAACGTTAATTGGATTTTCAGCTCCTTTTGAACGATTACTTTTCCTCTGGCCAGACCATCATTTTTAATAAGAGCTTGAACTTTAAGTGGACATCATCCTGCTTTTATCCTGGTTACAAGCCATAATTGCCGTGATATTTTTGCACTTGGCCTCCCAGAAGTACAGTGATTTTCTTTCTACAGTTTCTACAGGTACAGATTGTTCTCTCTCTGTTTCATGTTAAAGGAAAAGGTTGCTATTTTGGGAAATATGCTCAGTCCTGGTTTTGCTTGGCATTAGATATGAATATTGATGAACACTGTCAGTGTCTGTCAGTTAAATATGAAGCTACAGCCAGGTGATGGTTAGCGTAGCTTAGCACAAAGACTGAAAACGGGGAAACGGCTAGCCTGGCTCTTCTGTCCAAAAGCACCCGTACCCACTTAACAGCATTTTGCAAGGTAAGCTAACTGTCTCCTGGCGTCATATCTAACTGAATACGAGAGTGGTGTCATTCTTATCATCTATCTTTGGGCAAGAAATCCCAAAATGTAGCTGCAACCAGGAACATCAAATATTAAACATACAAATCCTTTAGAAAATGTAAATTTGCTATAAATTAGAAGTATCTCTGGGCACAAGCTCATGAACAGTGAAACAACCAATACTACACTTCATGCAAAAACACAGTTCCATTAAACCACCAAAGTATATTAAAGCCGCTCTGATGTCCTTCCTTCAGAAAGGAACAGCTGTGATCAACAACTCAAGTGTGGCTACCAATCTATACTTGATTCAAAGAGAGGTTAGCCTGCCCATGAGAGTACATGTAAGATGGAAATGCTTGCATATAAAGAGGCAATCTCATCTGCTGCCTTAGACACACTATTCACCAGGGTCCAATACTCTCAGGGAAATGCAGAGAGAGATTGAATGAGGAGCCAAACGCTGCCTTCAAATGGAGCGTGTCAGGTTGTTTTTGACTTGGGAAATTTGAGTGGTTTAAGTTGATGCTATGAGACTGAGGAAAAAAATGTATGTTGGCTTCCCTTTTTAAAAAATGATGCTTTTGTGTTCGTTGCCCGGGAAAACAAAAACTGCCCAAGAACATAGACGTATAGAAAATGTATTTTATTTGTATCTTTTAATTGACATAGGCTCATTGTGATCTGTGTGATGAGCTAATAGTAGAACAGTGTGTCTTCACCCACTGAAGCCAGAGGCATGATGGGAACCCTCCCTCCGTGTCGTGGGACCAGCCTCTTTAAAGGTGACATTTACAAAGCACACACATTTTGAAACGTTGTCAGTCTTCCTCACACAAACTGTACAATCAGTAAGATGGATACACCTGCTCATCTAAACGACTTTGATCAGGTTTTATACTTTTATTTCTTCACTTCATTCGATTTTAAAGAAGAGGCATAACAATTCAATTTGCTTGTGTGCTTTCATCATTCAAAACAAACCTGATGGTTATGATGGTGTTTTACTCATAATAACTTTAAATTCTCTTGTAGATCGTCTTCCGAAAGATCAGTGATGTGAAACGAGAGGAAGAGGAGCGACAGAGACGTAAGAATGAAGCCCCTTTGAACTTGCCACCGGATCACCCGGTGCGAAAACTCTTCCAACGCTTCCGACAGCAGAAGGAAGCCCGCCTGGTGCCCGAAAAGCCAGAACTAGATGATCACGATATCGAGAAGGGCCCTGTGTACGTGGACATCCCGATAGCTAAAGCGGCCATCACAACTACCAGCATCGTCACAGTGACGGAAAGCCCAGCAACACCCTCTTCTTCAACGCCTGCATCTTCGACACCCCCCAACTGTCCTCCCTCAGACAAGGCGAAGCTGCAGGTACCAGTACCCGTTTCTCTGATAGGAGGCCGCGCTAATGAACCAGTCAAAATCAAAGGCTGGGGTCTCTTCAAGGAGTCCGTGGCCAAAGCCGACAACTGGAACAAAGTGTCCAAAGCTGAATCCATGGAGACTTTACCGGAACGGACCAAGGCGCACGAGTCACAGATGTCTCTAAAGAAGACAGACTCATGTGACAGCGGTATCACTAAAAGTGACCTGCGCCTGGACAAAGTGGGCGAATTCCGCTTGACGCCCCAGGACCGCAGTCCCGTCCAGCCTCCGGAGACCAGGCACACCTTCTACCCCATCCCGGAGCAAACGCTTCAGGCGTCGCTCCAGGAGCTCAAGCTGGAGCTGAAGGACGATCTCAAGAGCCTGGATGACCGGATGTCCGGTCTGGAGGCGCAACTCACAGAGGCACTTCAACTCCTCAAGGCGAGGAGATCAAGTGCTGGCTCTCCGCAGCCGCTTTTTGACATTTCTAGACCTGCGTCACCAGAGCTGGACAAAGAGGACATCTTCTCTTGAGGTATGGAAGGTTAACTCGTCAATATAACTGTGCACTCTGCAGAAATGCAGGAATCCAGTAATATCCATATTACTTGGATAGCTGAGGCTGCATCGGGCACACCTTTTGGATTAGCAACAGCGTGGTCTTAAAGACGCACCGGCCTTTGTCACAGGGGTGTACCTGTCGCTTAGCAGAGGAAACGTCGAGGTCGTAGCCCAGATTTTGCTGTCATAACACTGAACACTCGGAGGTTAAGAAAACACTGACAGCTCCATGTTTGTACATAAGTTTGATTTATTTTTCCATCGCACTTTAATGGAAAAATAGCTCGAGTGGTTAGATTTTCATCTCGATTTTAGAGAGTGTTATAACAGAAGAACATAGTTGTATCTCTGTTGGGAAGAGAATAGAAACCGCATGACCCACTGGTTTGTGATGAATCATTTGAATGAGATTCTTTGCATGTCACATAAAATAGACGTGTGCCTCAAATTGCAGATTGTGCATATTTGATTGATTGAGGCCACGCGGCGATGTCATTTGCATTATTTCACCATGACGGTGGGAAAGGACAGATGTTGACACAGTCTCAGTCATTTCCTTCAAGGAATTGATGAACTGTTCTTATTATATCAACTGCCAGGATCATTATGAATTATACAACTCTGGCCAAGCAATCAGATTTTCAAAGACATTTTTCAGCAGAGCTTATAATTCCCATAAACCATGGAGAGATGGGCTTGATGAAAAGGCAGCAGTGAGCAAGTTATCCATCTTTCTGGATATCTAGTATTTGTTCTACACAAACGCTACAACCACACATGATACATGTAAATGATACATCATGTATGAGAGCGATGCATTTTTAGCTTTGGTGATGCATAATTCAGTGATGCATAACTAGGTGATGCAGATGGTATGATAGTGGCTGTGCCCCTTGCATTATTTTAAAATTGTCAAGAACATAGTGATGAATTCCGTTTTGCACAATATTTCTAAAAATGAAATGTATTCATAATTAAAATTTTAAAAAAAAAAGTGCAGAGTTGTTCATGTAAACAGACCCAGATAGTCACTGGAACTTGTTTTAGTGATGAATTTCGCCTTTACTGGCCACTGAGGTACATTTTTATATAACAGCAGATAGCATGCATGATTTAATGTTTCTGTGATAGCATTCACTGGAGAAAAAAAACATGACACCAGATACAAGTTGACTATTAATAAGGGACACAAATCAAAAATGATCAGGCGAAGAACAAGCGATCGCTTTTACAATCAACACTTGAAATGATGACGGCACTTGCAAATGGCATGGTAGTACAAAATGTAAAATGTGCTTTATTTAAAGGAACACTTCACCCTCAAAATGATTATTTGTGTATCAATTACTCACCCAGTGTTACCTTGAATTTGTGAAGAAAAAATTCTCGCATCCCTTTCCGGTTAACAAAGAAGCCAAAAACTTGATTTAAACAATATAATGGTAATTGGGTAATATTAATTGCAAAACAATGTTGAAATACATCAGACAGTAAGTTTGTTAAATGTCATAACTTTCTCTTTAAATTATAATTTTTATTTTTTTTACATTTTAACATAATTTCAATTTTAACAAAAAGGAAAACACAATTTACAGACCAGCGAACAAAAACAGAACGATTTTAGATGAGTTGTTCCAGATCAACAATCCGTCTTGCCTGTACTGTATGGCAACATTGTTTGACTGATGGAAGGATTCCTCCTAAATTATATTGTTAACCGAAATAAATCGATGTAAATAAATTGGTACTATATTGGAAAGACAACAGAGAATAGGCATCAGTATGGGGGATAGTGAGAAGACAGTGTAGAGACAAATGTGCTTTTGAGCATTTCTGTGGGAACTGAAATCAATCATTACAGAACCCAAATAAGTCCACAGAAAAAGATGCATCAGATGAAGCAGAGAGTTCTGTCATCAAGCAATAATTATGCATATTTAGCTGTTGCAGTAGAAATTTTAAATCAGTTGAGGCTCTTAAAAAACTATGAATAATGGAAGAAAGTCAGTAAATATGACTAATTTTTGAACCCATCAAAGGTTGTTTTCTTTTTGCCAGTGTTATGAAATCCAGAATAAAATCATTGCTAGTCATAGTCAGGATCTTAAGTATACAGTCTTTTACATGGCACAAAAATAACCATCGTTCTATATAATTTATTGTTCATATGGATAATTTATGTTCACCACATGCCTTTTTTCTTATCAAGACAAAAGACGAGCTGAGACAGACACGGCCGAGAGGGAAAAGACGCTGAGTTTTTCTCCCAACACATTCTGTGGCTCCATTTTCATCAAAAATTCAGCTCACTTAAAAATGAATGGGCATGTCATCACAGAAGTGAGAAGTCATTTTGTTTACAGCCAGTGGTTGTGGGTCTTTATGGGTTTGCTTTTACAAAGATCTCGGCTCTTTGAGAGGCAAAAGCACTAGAATCATCTATGACCTCTCTATCACAGGGAATCCACAAATCTGCTGCTCACACACGAGTTCGGAAATCAAACGGAGGCAGAAAAGCGGGCCGACAGTGTCCGTGAGGAATTTGGTCACGCTAGTAAATATGACGTAATGGCAAACAGGCTTTATCAAAGCTTTCACATCTTTACATCTACAAACCCATTTAGTAAAAGGTGATCTTATTACACAATCACTTCTCCAGTTATTATGATTGATACAATTATTAATCTATTACGACATCATAGCTCTGTGGTAAAACACCTTGTAATAATCTGTTCTTACTTTATAAGTGATGACTTTTTACATTTAATATCACATCACCCAAAAGACTTGGATAGACTCCTAAATGGAATTTCTTTTAAATCTGGCTACTTTTATGACTATTAAGTGGGTTTAAAGTTTTGATTTGGCTTCTTGGCAATAGTCAAATCCGGCAACACTGACATGCATGACATGTTCAACCAGGTTTACAACTAAAAGTTAAGGTTGTGTAGAGCATCAAAAGTGTGCAAAGCTAGAATGCAAGTTTTTAAAACAATTTAAAGGTAGAGTTATTGCTTTCTTGCAGAGGGTGAGATGAGAAGATTGATACCGCACTCTAAAACTACTACGAAGACTTTGTGTTGATTTTGGCGGCCCCGGTGGACAAAAGTGGTAGTGTTTCTGAGCGCCAGAGTCCCTTTAGAAAACCTCATTTTACTGCAGTTTCTGGTGAACCTGCATGGTGTAGTCTGATTTTGTGGTGGCACCGATGACGAGTAAGAGCAACTACATGTTAGCATAAAGACTGGAAGCAGAAGGAAACGGATAGCGTGGCTCTTTTTCAAAGTTCTGTAGCGCCTACCACCAAAGCTCATTCATCTCACACATCTCATTTGTTTAATCCGAAATGGAAAAGTTATGGTTTAACTGGGAGTCAAGTGCCAGTGGGTGTTTTTGAACTTTGGTCAGAGCCTTGCTAAGTGTTTCCCCCTGCTTCCAGTCTTGATGCTAAGCTAAGCTAATTGACTTCCAGCTCTAGCTCCATATAATGCAGGTATGAGAGTGGCATGTATCTTCTCATCTAACTCTGAAAGAACGTGAATAAATGCCAAACGTCCTTAAAATAATTAGTTACGACTGTGTAGGGTCAGTGTGTTTGTTTTAAAGAGAGAAAGTATTGAAAGTAAGATGATGCTTTTGACTTTTTCCGAACAGAAATTGGTGCATTGTGAGCTGTAGTGTGGAGTGGTATGCATGACAGCTCAAGATTACACTTTAAGTCAAGTTATGTGGAGTTAAAGGTGAATCTTTGAATGTTACACAACAGTTTAACTGTTTCAAATAAATTTAAACAAATGAAAAACTTTTTAGCCTGAGTTAACTTTTAATAATACTAACAATGAGGTGCTCTTTGTCATTTTTAATATTGTTTGTGATTCAACCATTCTAAACCCGCATGTAAAATATGTATTTTCTTCAACAGATGACAATTGAATTGTTTTATTTGAAGTAACTTAAGGTGGAATATTGTCATGTTAGCCCAAATAAACCAATTTCCCTTCACCAACGACACATGAATGACAAAACTGGTAATATTTGTAAAGTATTTTTCAAACTTTCATTTTGAATGACACAAACTATGAATCTTAAGCCTATTTTTTTGGTACTGTACTGTGTTGCTCATTATGTTACACTGTAAATGTACAATTCTCTTTTAGTTTGTTCAGTAACAACAGAACCAGATCAAACTGATTCTTTACTCTATAAATCAGTAGAAAGATCAAATGTACTTCAGCTAAACATCTGATTTCGTGCCGCTATTTGAATGCAGCCTTTTAGGATACAGTATGGCGTGTGGAGGGTACTCCCACCTACGCCTGCTTCTTCTATTTATTTTTACCAACACAAATAAATATGCGTTGACTAAAATGGGATGTACAGGTGCACTCTAAAACTCAGACAAGATCCTTGAAAGCAATATGAAGTTCTGTGCTGTAACATTTATAAACAAAGGTCCAAATGGTGACAGAAATAGGAGAATCCTGTTATAGTACTGCACTACCACTTCATTACATGTACCTTAATATCACTACAGTCATTACCTTTGATTGCTACTGAGAAGCATGCAACACTGTGCCTTCATAATATTGCCCCGTAATCCTTTTACAGGCCTGCAGTGAGAAAAAGATCCAAATTACTCTTTTGAAATGATTTGAACACATTATTTTTGTGGTCAGCTCTAGAAAGCTGCCTAGTTATAAACCCCTACAATATCTCTCTCTCTCTCTCTCTCTCTCTCTCTCTCTCTCTCTCTCTCTCT